ATTATGCATTGCATTTATAATGTGCATCTCTACTCTACTTCGGAGAATAAAAAGTTGTTAATTTTAGAGATAGATACATTTGTTGGGTAGAAGTGAATAAAAGTCAAGATTCGCATTGTAAAACAATTTATTCGTCTATAATTTGTGTTAGTTAGGTCTAACAATAGAAACAGTCATTGCGTCGTACGAGCTCTAGAACTACTAGAGTACTAGGTTAATAGTCGTCTTAGGAGGTCTATCCTAAAAGAAATTTTCAATAAATTTATAGTATTACAGACAACAGTTTGCCTGTGTTCCTTAAATCGAAAGTTACATAATTTTAGCACATAGTTAAATTTAAGAAACGCTATGATGATGTTATTTGAACGTTGCATACGCCACAAAATTAATTTAGATAATCAGGCGTTCATCTCATTTTATAAATCGAAAAAGAAGGTGTACTAACTGTGGTTTATTTTCATACAACTTATTCACTAACTTACCACTAATAAATATATTTGTGTACCAGGAACACAGACGCAGATAAGAGTTAAGAGTTCAATGAAATATTAACAGCGTGTTCATCTACCTACAACATAGAATTCGATGCTAACTTCATGTGTCTGATTATCAACTCTATAACAGTTACAATACGATAGAAAATGCTTTACCACATATTCTACTCGTTTTCTATATAAATTAGGTCATACACTAGCGAGAAATAATTTATATGCCGATAGTTTCTAAGCCTTTGTAGTAGTAAGTTAGCTAAATTAATTTTATTTAAGTTATTTTTGCAATTAAAAGAAATATTTTAGGTGAAAAATTTATTGAATACAAAATTTCTTGAATAATGAAACTTTTAAAATCTAATAATGAGTTATTTGGAGAACCAAATATATCTGTAACGACCTATTTTTTAAAGCGAAGGAATCAAAGTAAGAGAATTTGTTCTGTAGCAAATGAAACACACTACATTCCTAAGGTCTATCAAACGTCCTGTACAAGCTAGTTCTACTCGAGCGTTAAAAAAATATGCATCAGTATATAATATTTATTATTTATATCATACAATCACACACATGGAATCGAAACGTGTCCGTACATAGTACATACATAATATACAGTCGTTAGGACATCGTTACATTTGTATAAAAAATCAAAAAACACCAAAATTGACTTCAATTTTGAAAATTTCACAACAATGTGACCATGTCCCCAAGATCCGTACTATATGGCTAAGTTTTGTGGTTATTATTTCATGGTTTTCTGTATTTCTTGTATACAATTAGCTTAGTTAGCCTCAAAATTGTAATGAATAGACATTTTAATAAATGGCAAGGTTCAACTTGGATCAAGTTTGAATCTTATTTTAACTAGGTATCTATTAACAGGCACTTTTGAAATACAATCTATATAATATATAAAAATGAAACCCGTTATCCTTTGCCAGGCCATAACTTGAGAACGGCTAGATCGATTTGGCTGATATTTTTATGTTGTATTTGTTATTGTCAGGAGAAGGTTCTTATGACAGAAAAAAATCCTTAAAATCCTAAGGGAACGGGAGAAAACGGAATTGCGCGTACGAAGTCGCGGGCAAAAGCTAGTTTGTAATAAAAGTGTTCATTGAGAGGCTATATAGAAGCTAATTGGATACAATAAATAAACATAAAAGGTCTTACACTCGAATACTGAAAGGCTACTAAATTAAAAGTTGTACTTAAATATCGTGCCATCACTGTCATTTCAAAAAATTTAGTGATAACTTAAGCGCGACTTAAAATTGAGTAGCGTTTGAGTATTAGACATAAGATTCTCATATCCTCGAATAGTCAAATAAACATTTAGTTTCATTTAACATAGCAAGAGAATTAACCACAGGTCGCCATATTAATATAACAACATTTTTCGTATACACACACTTCCTTAAGCTAAGCAAAATAATATTAAAGTATTAATTTTAAGATTAAACATTACTATCGACTAATTTTTCTTTATATTTTTTTGCATTTTTTTCACTTTATCATCAATTCATTAATAATAAGTAGTTTTAAAGGCCATTATTATTCAAAAAACGTTTTTTATTTTTACAGAATTTTATTAAAAAATTTAAATGCGCTCGAACACTTACTAGTGTAGTGCTTTTTATCGATACTTATGCAAATTGATTATAAATTCAAATAAATCATTACGCTCCTAATTTCCACAATACTAGGCAGCAATGTATAATACAATACATAAGTAGCCATTATCAATATAAAAGCTTTTTCATACATTCAGGAACTATACATGCATTACAAATTTTGATGAATTTCATGATAAAAATACGATGGTCAAAACATTAGCAAATAGTCATTTACGTCATCAAGAATGCAATTATTTATTAAAAGAAATAGATTACAAAGATTTTGTAATTAATATTATTATATCGAATTATCGATACTTTACAATTTCATTCACATACCAACACTATAAGGGTACTTTATATAACTTAGTAGATTCAGCGTTCAATTGTTCTTATTCTTCTAAGAAATGTAGGTATATAAAACAAATTTAACATGAAGCCTTACATTTAGTGAAAGGTGCATATTTTTACAGATTTTTTTTAAGAATATTTTGACAGTATAGTGAACTTTGTTAGTGCCATTTTCATAAAAAATAAAGAAAATGTTTCATAAATAAACACAGACAGACCTCGTTACATCGAGGTAACAAAAATTACAATCTATAACTCGCTTTTTGAATTACAACTTCATACTTTTGTAATAAAGTTTAAAATCTAATGTAGAAACTTACTCTTTGTAATAGCTTGATCTATTGGCATCCACTACTCCGGATGCTAATAGTTAGAAAAGTTCATAGTTTTTACATTCCAAGGCCAACAAAGACCTACCATCTATTAAAAACAGCTAACAGTATAGGAAATTGTATTTATATCACATATACACATATTAATTATACATTAAAATAACGTATATTTGAAGCTGATAATAAACTAGTAACTCAAACATATCCATGTTTTGGCAAAACCATTCATATTTATATAGAAATAAGGTTTATTTTACTCAACAGTCCTAAAATAAGCAAGATACATAAAAGCGATCTATTAGAACTAGCTGCAAGCTCATGCATCTCGTTCTCTCATATGAAGAGTAAGCGAGAAGGAGGTTAAAAGCCCTATTTCATTTTTAGAATACCATTGTCGTACGATATTACGAAGTAGCGCGACAAATATATGTAATGAATAATACGAAGGTTATTTTTAATAGAAACTCAACTGGTTGCACAAATAACTTGACTAATTATTATTTGTATTAGGTATAGTCTCGTGGGACATATTATCATGAATATGAACTCCTAGCGTTGCTTGAAACTAGTCCAGTTACTTCACCAAACAGTTATGTTAACCCAAAATAAATTTGCTAAAGTTGATCATCGACATGTTTTTGATTTATGTTATATCGTAAGACAACTACATTAATTATTATGTATTTCCGTTTACTCACGTTATTATTTGATGAAGAACTCGACTAGTTTCAAGCCATGCTGGAAGCTCATATTCACCGCGACCCGCGACGCGGCGACTGTCACGCCGCCGACACTAGTCGAGTTCCTCGTCAAATAATTACTTAAGTAAGCCGAAAAACATAATAATTAATGTTTTAGATTGTCGACGGTCAAATCCTCTAATATATTTTTGTAGCGCAACTGATCGTGCGACCATGGTATCCCAATGTCCTAACAGTCAAAAGAAGCATCATTGTAATTGAAATTATAAAAAGAATATGTAACTCTTCATATAAAAGCGAATTTCAACTTTAAACACTTTGAAATAAGTGTTACAAAATGTACAAATATAAACAATGGCTCTGAAACAACACGTATTATGACGATGGAATTGAAAAACATACTTTTCTGGAAATAGAATGTTAGAATGAGTTAATAAACGACAGAGGTTTTCATCATCAAGTAGATCTAGATAAGTGTCTTTACGGTGGAAATTAATATCCAATTTTTATCAAAGATCTCTGAACCCTCGATATTTTACATAAACTCCAAAAATAATGTCAAATAATATCAAAAATTGTTTTAATTTAAAGACTGCACGTGTGTGTTCGTGCAGTAGTAGGGCGAGCGGCTACTGCGAAACGAAACAATCCTTTGTAATAATAATAATCCACGAGAGTCTGGAGTGTGTTAATTTATTTGTTTATAAACACACCTACCTCACGGTCCAGGACAAAATCCTAGTGCAGGTCTACATAGAGTACGTAGTTTTTAAAAAAAAATCTTACTACCTGTGTGGTAAATAGAGATTCTATGATTATAATCTTTTATTACCAACCATTTTATAATTCGGCTGGACGTCAATATTATTCATGTTTCACTCTTCTACATGTACAATCTCGGTAAATTCAACCTTCTATTAATACAATTTAAGTTAATTTTCGCTTCTCATTCTAACATCGCTATCTCGCTTGCCATTAGCTTATTTAGGCCTACTTACGGAGTCCAAAATGTCTTGATTAATCTAGTACAATGCTTTATATTATACTGGGACTAGTATACCTGCCTGTTTAATTTCTAGAATTTTTTCCATAAGAACTTATTTTGAAAGATCTAAATTGACTCAAATTGTCCAATCAAGTTTGTATATTTATTCATTTAACTGGACTCATATAGTATTCCATTGTCACTTGTAAATATCAAGGATACATTATAGTAAAATGCAATTCTAATCATAAAGGTACAGGAACCCACAGGTCGCTTCCAATCAGTCGATCTGAGAGTCAGTACCTATGTTCAGCAATGGCCATCTTAGAACTGGTAATAATAATTATTCCACAAAACGTAGGATTCATAAGCCAATGGCAAGTACAAAGTATAAACAGTATTTCAAGCTATGCTACAATAACTATCAATTTTCAACTTCATAACAATGTCGTTAACGTTGCAAATTGATTAAAGGGTACCTTGATGTGCTTGCATAGGTTATAATATGAATTTTACATGGATATTTAGAGTGGTATGTATTCCCTTATCTGTTGTAGTGTTTCTCTATCCGCAGACTGTAAGAGTCGGTCGAATGTCTCAGCTCCTACCTGGTTCTTCAACGTCTCCAGCTGAAATAGAATTTTATTTTTTAATAAATATGGTTTCATTTTGTATTATTGACATTTTTTAATGACACTTTGAATGAGTTATGCTGGAACTCGTTCAACTATATTACAAAAAGATTTAAGAGTGACCAATGAGTGCGTGATCATTCACTCACTCACTGAATTAAGTTATTGAGTTAATTAGTCAGTAAGTGTGGGAGAGCCATGCTTCGGCACGAATGGGCCGGCTCGACCGGAGTGATACCACGGCCTCACAGAAAACTGACGTGAAGCAACGCTTGCGTTGTGTTTCGTCGTGTGAGTGAGGTTACCGGAGGCCCAATTACCCTCCCCTTCCCCAATCTCCCCAATTACTGAATCCCTAACGATCCTCAAACTCCTAATCCCCAAAAGGCCAGTAACGCACTTGTAACGCCTCTGGTGTTCCTGGTGTCCATGGGCGATGCCGATTGCATACCATCAGGTGATCCATCCACTCGTTTACCATGCCATAAAAAGAAAAAAAAGTACATTAGTAACTGTATAAGTACCTGCAGATGTATGACGGCCCGCAGGTCGATGGTGTGTGCGGGGTGCGTGGCCAGCAGCGCGCGCCGGCGCAGCTCGTGCGGGTACTCCGCGCCCCCCGCGCCCCCCGCGCCCCCGCCCGCCTCCCCCCAGCGCGCCGCGCCCCCGCGCCCCTCCAGCGGCGACGCCGGCCGGGACCCCGGCGGAGCCAGTAGACCACTGGCGGAATAATCGGACGTACTACATATTATTATTATGAAGATTAATGGGGGCTAACATTGTTTTGCTCACCATATAGCGCAAATGTAAGAAATGGTTTTTTGTCTATTCACAGCAACTGTCAAATATTAAACGTCCAATAGTGTCACACTAATTCCCTATTGGGCGAAGAACGAGATATTTACACTAGCGCCATTTGGCGAGCAAAAATACTGTAGGCCGCTAAATGTGTGCCTTATCTATTTTGGATACAAAGACTTAGAGGCAAAGATAAGACAGTGCCTTATATTTCTTTTCAAGTCTGTATCATCCAATTGTACTATAATTATTTATTAATAAGAGACTGTTTGTTTCCTGAATAAAACAAAATAAAAAAATCCAAATAATGGTTTATAACATTGACTTCGTAATCACTACACAGTATAAAATAAAATCGCTATCCGCCGTCTGTCTCTATGTATGCTTAGATCTTTAAAACTAAGCAACGGATTTTGATGCGGTTTTTTTAATAGATAGAGTGATTCTTAAGGAAGGTTTATATGTATAATACATGCATATTGCACTCGTGCGAAGCCGGGGCGGGTCGCTAGTATAATATAACTAAAAACAGAGCGTAAATAATTTGAACATTTTTGTCTTCCATAGCGTCTAATGTTATGTAGTCCACCAATATATCGTTTTGTAGTAGTTGTCTTGTCCACTGTTCATGCGTGCGATATGCCTAGCCCATCTCCACTTCTGCTTGGCAATTAAGAAGATCGCATCCTTTCATCATCATCAACATCAACAGCCTATAAGTGGCCACTCCTGACCAAAGGCCTCTTCTCATACGGAGAAGGTTGAGCTTTGATCACCTTGCTTGCTTAATGCAGGTTTGCGATTTCAAACATATATTTACAAATTATAAGCCTAAGTTCGATGTTTTGCTTCACCATTTGTAGAATCTAAATAATCATAGAAAGTACATAAATTCGGAAATAGCTACATTGGTACTTTACCGTTGGTTGTTATCGAACCCGCGCCCTCAGCATGGGAAGCGAACGTCTTAAACCTGCGGGTCACCACGACTACATCCTCGCATCGTATCTTTTACCCACGTTTATATACAACTTAGTATTTGATCCATTCATTAATTTTTGGGTCACACAAAGAATAACATTTATGTAATACTTACTCTATATACGTGCCGTTTTCCTCAGACTTCATGACGTCATTGAGTACCTCGGCCAGGTTCAGTAGTATGGCGGGGAACCGCTGTAACACTGTCGCGTTCTGCGTCGTCAACAGCGCGGCTAGACCAAGGCCTACGGACACAATACTTGTCACATATAAAACTGCTTCATTATGTGAGTCACAAATTATTACATGTATCTTACTGCTTACAAAATCTAATATAAAATGTAACTTGTCAACAAAGCAGAATTGATCAATTGACCAATATGTATGGAGTCCAAGTATGCTAACTGATACATGATAAAAAGGGTACAATTTACTGTTAAAACTCTGTCTGATGGTTTAAACAATTAAAGATTATTTTTTGCACAGAATAAATTATACATTTCTGTCATATTATACAATGGTCACATTCAGTCAAAAATCATTAGATCATTCTATTAACCAATAATTTTCAAGCTTCGAAGTTATGAATCGCACTTTTTACCAGTTGAGTACTCACCGACAACCTTCCACCTCTCAACTTGTGTAACTAGATTCATCTTCTCAGTCCAGACATGTAGGAACTTGTTCAGCAACTTGGCGGGGTCTGAGTCGTAGTCAGAGACGACCGTGGCGGCCTCTTGGATCGCTTTGTAGAACAGATCCGTTGATAGCAGGATAACACGGGACACCAGACATAACTGGACTGATAGGACTATTGGAAGGTCATCACCTTCGAGTAACCAGCTGGAAAGGGATTTTTGTTGTTAGTACACACATAAATATCCTCACGCCTGTCTCATATGTGGGTAGGCAGAGACTACGGATATATGAAATCATATAGGCCTTTTTCAGATAATAGAACTCTTAAGGGGTTTCGTTCTATAATAATACAGAGTCAACGATTCTATTGGTGTTACAAATGTCCATCAACCATAGTTAATAAGATAAGTTTTTACTGTAAAAAATATAAATATTCTGCAAGTATCTCTTTGTAAAATCAAAAACACAATTACACCTATTTTTACAAGGTAAAAGTACATTCAGTATATTTACTCACTGTATAACTCTAATAAGTATTGGCCAGATGACCTTGACTCCCAAGAAGGCGTTCCTCTCAGGGAAACTGACACTAATGCAGATTTCAGCCATCTTCAGTACTGTGATGACTCCCTCGGTCCTCATATCACTCAGCATGTCCTCTAAGAGTTCCATGCACTTCCCTCCCGCAGCTGAGAGGAACTCCTCAGGACACAGGAGGGTGTATGCTTGCATTATGTACACTACTATCCTTAGGTGTTCCGAGGATTGCTCTGAAAATAAAATAAAAACTGCGTTTAAAAAACCGACTTCAAAAAACCAAAAACCAAAAACTAATAACAAACAAAAAGTCAAATCTAAAAAGCAAAAAATAACTATTATTAGTACTGATAGGTTACCCCCCCACTGATAGGTAAGAAGTCGGTGCCATAAGTTCAATACAAAATTATTCATTAAAACCTTAATAGGTACCTTATTCACAATTTTGTGGACATTAAGTTATATCATTATGATATGAGCTCATGGCACCGACTTCTAACCTATCAGTGGGGGGGTAACCTATCAGTACTAATAATAGTTATTTTTTGCTTTTTAGATTTGACTTTTTGTTTGTTATTAGTTTTTGGTTTTTGGTTTTTTGAAGTCGGTTTTTTAAACGCAGTTTTTATTTTATTATTTTATCATTTTCAGTGTAAAGCTACATATACCCGTTTTGTTACTTATAATATATATAGGTACAAAGTTCTAATCAATACAAATTATACAAGCCCAAACACAAGGTAGTTACAGTATACCGTTGAGGAGTTCCCTTAACAATTACACTTCTTCATCATCAGACCCTTAATGACAGCCCCACTCTATTTAGGTGTAAAGTCCTCATCAATACAAATTAATCAAGCCCAAACACAAGGTAGTTACTGTATACCGTTGAGGAGTTCCCTTACCAATTACACTTCTTCATCATCAGACCCTTAATGACAGCCCCACTGTATCTAGGTGTAAAGTCCTCATCAATACAAATTAATCAAGCCCAAACACAAGGTAGTTAATATAAACCGCTGAGGAGTTCCCTCGACTGTCTATCGACTCCATCATCAGGTCGACTCCAAACCCATATGAAATTGTAGTGTTTAAAAATGGTAATTGAAAAACATAATAGACGCATTACTCCTCCATAGAATTTTCGAAAGTTCCCCTCGGTTTCCCTAGGATCTCATCATCAGATCCTGACTTCATGGAAATGGGACCATCTCAGGAGTATACCCTTTCAAACAAAACAAAAATTTTCGAAATCGGCCCACAAACGGCGGAGTACTGCGCGAACAAACAAAAAAAAAAAAAAAAAAAAAAAAACAATCAGCCGAACATAGTACCTCCTCCTTTTTTTGAAGTCGGTAAAAATTGGGTGTTTGTAGTGATTTTTGTCTGTACAATAATGCAACAAATAACTGCTGTGAGTTACTTATTTTAGTAAGTTTTACATGGTAGAGCTGTGCCTCAAAGATGATTCAAGCAGCTAACTTGAACATAACACTAGTTGACAAACATCTTTAAATGATTAACTTTTTTCACAACACCTACCTAATATCGGGTACAAATTCTCAGCTAGCTGCAGTGTGACAGGGTCCGGCGCCTGTGAGGTCTCCAGTACAGCGAGCCACAGTTCCAGCGCGTCCTCCAGTAGGTATACGTGCGCCGGCTCTGTAAGCTTGGTGGACTCGTTCACCACGCTCAAAATCCAGGGCCGAATGTTTGGAGGACATTCCCCTAAAGCCTGTTGAGAAAGAAATGTTATTTGATTGTAATTTTAAGTTTTTTAGTGGTTAAAGAATTAAGTAAGAAATAGGGACGTTTACGACAACCAATTAGCAAACTCGACCGGAGTGGTACTACATCCTCAAAGAAAACCGGCGTGAAAAATCTTACGATTTGTTTTGCCTGTGATTGAGGTTACCAGTGGCGCAATTTTCCCTTATCTCTAATTCTCAAATTTCTGAATGACCGATCGAGAACCTCATCTACCATCAAGTGACCCATCTGCACTGTCTAAGAACCTATCCCATAAATTTATTTTTAATTATCCCCACGAGTATTGTTCTGCTAGGTCAAATAAATGAAAATATATTTAAGTGTGGGAGAGCCATGCTTCGGCACGAATGGGCCAGCTCGACCGGAGTGATACCACGGCTTCACAGAAAACCGACGTGAAGCAACGCTTGCGTCGTGTTCGTCGTGTGAGTGAGGTTACCGGAGGCCTTATTACCCTCCCCTTCTCCTAATCCAATGTCCCCAATTCCTGAATCCCGAACGATTCTCAAACTCCTAATTCCCAAAAGGCTGGTAACGCACTTGTAATGCCTCGGGTGTTCCAGGTGTCCATGGGCGACGCCGATTGCTTACCATCAGGTGATTCATCAGCTAGTTTACCGGCTTTGTCATAAAAAAAATGTAGATACCAGTACTGACCTTGAGTAGATGTACGAGCGCGGCGAGTGCGGCGGCGCGCAGCATGTTGTGCGCGGCGGCGGTGGCGTGCGCCCACAGCTGCGGCAGGTACGCGAACAGCTGCGCCGCGCCGCCCCGCGCCACGCGCCCGCCCATGCGCTCCGTCACGAACGACACCACGTGCAGCACGTGCATCTTCGTGTCCATCTCTTCGGACTCCACCTGCCACACACACGGCTTCACGTCACATCAACGGCCTACAAGCAGCCACTGCTGACCAAAATCCTCTTCCCACACAGAGAAGGTTATGAGCATAAATCACCACGCTTGCTCATGATTTCAAACTTATAATTAATTAGAAATTATAAGCCCAAGTTTCCTGTTCATGATGTTTTGCTTCACTGTTTGTCAGTGGCATCTAAATAATCTTAGAAAATACATATGTATAACTTGGAAAAAGTCACATTGGCACTTGTCGTTGGTAGGTTTCGAACCCGCCGCCTCGTGCGTGAGAAGCGGGCGTCTTAAACCTCCAGGCAACCACGACAAATCAATATTGATACAGTTCACACTTCACAGACTGTTGGTTGGTTATCGAGTCAACCTCTGTGACATAAAACTTCGCTACTCTCTTGACGTCTCTGTACTGAATCAATATTTATTTTCTTATACTAAGTGTAAATTGTGAAATAAGAGTGAATTTATAAAAATATTTAGATAAAAATATTTATGTCAAATAAATCATAAAACACCTTGATTTACAGTTCAAAATAAATAATACAATATACTAAATACAATAGCTCACGTACCAGGAGCTCATAGAGCGCAGCGATCGCATGCGGAGCGAACGGTGCAAATTGTTCCACGTCGAAGTTGAAGTCATCGATCGTACTCCTCAGTGCCTCGGCCGCTGCAAGCTTTACTGCGGCGTCCTCGTCCGGACTACTGAGGGGTTCTAGTAGTGCAGCATACATTGCTGGCCTCAAGGACTGTGATGCACGAACACCACACCATTGACCTGACATGAATTATACACATGACAAAATATCCGCATAGCCACTTGGCTATGCGGATATTTTGTAATCTTAATAATATCTATCATAATAATAAATCTTATAATCACCCTTATGCTTACTTAAGCATAAGGGTGATTTGAGAACTCACCAATTAGTTGACAAACCCTCCTTCGTATTATTCTATAATTGTTGTCCTTAATTTTTAACTCTTGACTTAATACATTCGTGAACCATTCGTCGAAGTCGACCTGAGGAGAAACACGTAAAAAGCTTAACATGGATGTAAGTCAGCAATGTAAAACGATCCGACAGAGTTCAGACACAACGCCAATTGTCATCCAAATTACGATAAATACAATTTTTTAGGCATTTTCCCAAAAAGAGATAGCAAAACACTTAAAATAACATTAACTCACATCGTCATACAAATCGAAGGCAGCCAATCCGACGGCATTGTAAATAGCATCCTTCTTCAATATGCCAGGAAGGTCGTCGGGAGAGATCTGCTGAGTCTGTAAGTTCGCTAACATTCGCACTAACTCCGGAGCTAATACACTCCTGAACTGAAACAGCTCTGAGAACAATGCTTCTGTGCAAGGCTGAAATTAAAAAATATATTAAAAATTAATTTCAAAAGGTTTAACACGCCAATGTACTTATAACACAATTCTATTTGAAAAATAACTAGAGATGTTTGTATTATAAATGTGAAAATTTGTTTCGGTGGATGTTTGTCCTTAAATCACGCTGAAACTACTGAACGGATTTTGATGAAATTTGGTATATAGGCAGGGTTTAGACTGACTTAGGTGATCGGCTACCCGCCTTGGCTTTTTATCTCGATTAAATGCTCCCATAGAATAAAACAGGAATCATATTGTAAGCGGACGAAGTCGCGGGCAACAGCTACTTAATACATTATTATACTTTCAAGAATTCATTCATTTCAAAAGTGCCTCTTTATGGTTTAGTTGAAATGAATGATTTGACTTAGAATTAGTTAAACTCACCCTCAAGCTATATTTCCATGATTCACCCGCCTCATCAGTAGCGAAGCTCTCTGGCTCGGCGTCCCAGAGTGCCAGGTCATCAGCACTGAGTAGGAAATAATGAGAGACCAGGTGCCTACACATGTGGCAGAGCGTGTTCGGGTCTAATACTTCCATCTTTGCCTGGTGAGCTTGGAGCGTCGGCACTGGAAAAATAATATTAAATTAAGTAAAATATATTTTTATTTTATTTTAAATTATTATAGCACGCAGTGTACCCACTGTTAAGGTGATTAGAAACAGAAACAATACTAATGTTTATCGAACTTAAACACTATTTACGAGACACAATACAAAATCTGGTACAATACTCACATGCTTCCTTGCCTTTGGGCGGCTTATACTCCAAACACTGAAGAATCCCCTTTACAATATTCAGGCACTGAATAGTAAACCTTTCGTATATGAGAGCCATTCCTTGTTCAGTAAAACAGTAGTACAGTGCGAACTCCAAAGATGGCCTGATCAGAGGTACGTAGGAGAATGGTTGTGCAGATAACACCCCTAAAGCCACCTTAGTAAGGTGTATTATGAATTTCTCGCACAACTCCAGAGGATAAATACCTCTGCCTTTTAATAGTTTTCCTAGAAGATGGACAAAACATACATTTTAAACGTTCTTAATATATCCTATAGTTTTAGTACATTATGTTTCGAAATACACATAGGAGAAGCCTATGTGTATGACTTTCAAGAACATTCGACATTAAAAATTCAGAATTTCAATAATTTTATGGACCTATTTACGGTTATACTTACTGCATTCCAAACTGGTCTTAGCGCGGTCAAAAACGACATTCAAGAATGCCATAGCGTCCTGGCTTTCATGTGTCTTCTTAAAACCAAATACAGTCAGTTTCCTTAATATCCTGAGGCAGAGGAGTGCCTTCTCTAAGTGTTCCGTTATTAGCTCTGTGGCCGCACCCTCTTGTATGTGGCGGAGGAATAGCTCCGTGTTCTCATGCCAAAGGTTTAGAATGAACGCGTATACTGTGTTTGTTAGTTCCTGAAATTATTATTGTTTTTTTTTTAATATTCACATTTACCTGTCACCCTTGGTCTTAATATAAATAAAATCTTTATTCATTATAAGAAATTGGTCATATTACAGATAAACATCTTCATTTAAAATCAGAGATCACACTAGGTTTAATGCCTGTACTGGGAAGAATATCCTGTATCACAATGTAATAATCTAATATGTTCAATCAAACAGACTGATAATAACACGTCACTATAACCTAGAACTTAGATTAGTAAGTTATTTAAGATCATAATAAATCCAGAACAAAGTGTCAATGACACCAGTACATTATGTTACTAGCTTCTGCTAGCGGCTTTGCCCGCGATCCCAGGGATAAAATGCCTATGTATGTGGGATAAATATTGTATTTAAAGAACGCAGCCAAATTGAAGGTAAGAACGGAACGCAGCGGACTAAAGATAGATAGATGTATGTGTGCTAGTGAGTAAGTAAGTAAAATGGCGATAGAGAATTGACGACGGACAGCCACGGTGTAACGCAAATTTTTCTTTACCGTGTGAATAAAGTTTCAATTAGTAAAGTGCTTGCTTATTTTGCCATATAATCCCACGTGTATTACTTCAGACCATTATCTACCTCTGCTCCGAATTTCATTCCGGTCCCTTCAGTCGTTTTAATATGACTGAGTAACAAACATACACACACACATAAACTCACATATTTTCAAATTAATAATATCGGTTCAAAGTAATTTCAAACATCGGCCCCACAGTTACAGCGTATGACGATTTCTATGATTCTTTTCATTATTGAATAGGTAATTAATAATGTTAACTTTTTTAGTTATGGATGAGTGAGAGTATTATAAACGTAATAATAAACAAATATAAGCAAAAAGCTCCGAACTGCTAAGCTATCGGGAATTACACGTGTTATTGTGAGTCCACCATAAAAGATAGACATATGCTGTTTTGGGATATTTTTAGATAATTTTATGTAGAACATTTCCGTCATACATGATTTCTATGTAATTTTAACCATTAAGGCTGCACACGCGACGCGTCGCGTGTCTTCTCCCGTTTTCCTAACATTTCCCTTCACTGCTATAACCTCTTCAAGAGTATGAAGAATTTAGTTTTTGTTTTTATAAGGAACAGACAGACAGGCAGACAGACAGACAAAAATTTGACTGATGCATTTTTGCCATTAGTATCGATCACTAATGACCCCCTGATAGTTATTTTGGAAATATATTTCCTGTACAGAATTGAACTTTCTACAGATTTATTATATGCATAAATAAAGATTGTTATATATTATTTAAGTAAAAATGTTTATATGTACCTACTACTGTGCACTCTAAATTGCTTACTTTTGTGTAAAATATTGTTTCTCAGTAAGTGAATTATGTATGTGATTCTTCGTGAGAAATAAAGATATTCTAAACCTAAACCTAAAGATAGTTAAAAGCTTTTGGTATCAAGTGTATTGAAGGAGAAGGAAGCCAAAGAAATACATGAAACAAACTGTACTGCTGTCTAGTGTCTGCCTATCACCATGGATTAACATCAAACGAAAACGTTTATTGGTGTTTCCTAGCAACTAAGTTACATGAATATTTTTTATAAGTTTTGAACTGGTGCTTGGCTACCATCTCTCCTAGTAACTATAACTAAATGGGTACAGACCTGGAATGTACGTCGTTCGTCGACAAGCCTTTTCGAAGCCAATGCTTTGACCACATGATGGAAGATCAGTAGAGCCCGGTGCTGCATTAATGGCTGGGGAGCCTTTAAAGCACCCATTAACTCAGGCACCAAATCAGGCCAGTTTGTTGGACAGTCAAACCTGAAAGAGATTATGAACAGGTTTATTAAATGAAAAAGTTAATTAACATAGTAACTTGATTTTCATTATACTTCGCAATGGTGTAAGTCCATCTACTGCTGAAATGATTGAACTGATTTGGATAGTCAAGGAAATATAAGCACTACTTACCTAGCAATCTTAGATATTAGTACAGCAAGTTGTGTAGCAATCTGTGCTACCGGTTCACTCAGGATGTTCGTCGTGAGGAGACCTTGTCTCAACTTCAGCTTCTCCTCCTCCGTGATGGCATTAGGAGCAGTCTTCCTCCAATATCGGTCGACTCCGTTTTTGAAACACATCACTGCCAACCACCGGACATTTCCGTCTATCGAGTGGTTTGACAGGACATTCTGTAAAGAACAGTTTCTTGATATGCATTTGGCTTATGAAGGGACAAGCGCATGCTTAATGTGTGTGACATTGTATTATATGCAAAAATTCATTATTACTATCCCATGGTATACAGGAACGCAGATCTATGTGAGACACAATGTATTTTCTATTGTATCTCATATATCGACAAACAAGGGGTTAAAACAAAATTAAAATTATAACACAAAATCTAGGAGATTTTACAGTTATTTACTAACTGCCAAATCACTATTAAATTGTAGTCTTTATAAGCAAATCTCAAACACCAATCTTCAATGAATATACTTGACTGCATGGTTAGAGCGGTGGCTGGGCAACTGGCTGCCGCGCAACATGTTGCGATTTCGATACTCACATTGAACAACTCTTTGTGTGAGCCACAAATTGTTGTCACGGGTCTGGGTGTCATGTGTTTGTGAACTTGTAAACACACCCATGACACAGGAGAAAATCCTAGTGCTTAGTGTGGGGCAACATTTACAGAAAAAACCTTTTTACAAACCTTAGATCGGCAAACAAAGAAGACTTAGAGCCCTGACCTTTTAATAACTGACTATTTGAATTGCTAACCTTTTATTTCACAAAGGTACGGGACGAAAAAAGTAACTCTTGTGAGCACTTACCAGGAGTACAGTATAAAAGCCAGGTTCCACCTCCCATTCTTGAAGTTTCTTTTCAGCTGGTTTTAAAACGTCTGGGTCCTGACTGGTTGCACGGTTTAAAGTGTCGAGGACCAAAGCATAGATGTTTGGGTCCATTGTTGTGGTGATTACCTTAAATAAAATAGAATAGTTAAGTTGTTAGCACAGTTTATGGAATTATTGTATTAAAATTTTTGAATTATTATAAAAGTCTTTTATTAATTCCTAATAACAAAACCACCTAGACGTATGTCTTGCGTATGTGTTGCAGTAGCTCTCTGATAAAGAAAATAGAAAAATATAAATATTAAGGGTAGAGAAGCCAATGTATTACGAGGTACAATCAACACATTGATTACACACACAACAAATGTTTGTTTAACAAACAGCATAGCACATTACTATTGAATATGAACTGGAATGTGATATAAGAGCTTTACAAATATGATACATCTTCAGCGTTCAATGAAATGTATTGAGGTAAAAAGTGTGGTTATTATGACCATAGATTTCATTCTCCAAATGTGCAGATCACAGACAAGTGAGCAGATCTATGGTAACTACACTAGTTAAACAAATAAAATAAAACTGCACTAGACAAGATTTGATTGATTTTACATCAAGATGATCATGCAGTTGACAATGTATGTTTATTTTGAACATCAATTATTATCAAGCCATACTGGTATCAGTTATGGGTAAAGAGTGTTGGTAACTGTGCGAAAACAAAAGCAAATAACTTGAGACAACTCATCTTGAATATCAAGTAATTTTTATTCCTTACTAATGCCGTATTGATTCCTCTAAAACACTGTTATAGCTGTACACACCTACTACATAATTAATTGATACTATGCTATCTACAAGACAAAAAATACCAATAATATGATGTAATACTATTTCAGCTTAATAAACTATAGTAGCTGAGTAAACTATTTACCTAAACTTATGTGTTTTTGACGTAAATGAGGTCACAGACTTCAAATTTGCAGAAAAACCGAAACATGATTTGTGTAATCAAAACGTCTGCAAAAACAGACACAAAAATGTCGCGCTGTCAACTCTCTGCATAATACTTCAACAGTTTACATTACCAATTAACATAATTTGAACTAAAGTACAGTATGAGTATAATACATAACAAAATACATCAAACAAAACTTACTTTTCACCCTGAAAATTCAAAGGGCATAACATAACCTATCACAATTCACTTTACAACGCATTAATCGAAACAAATTAAAGAAAAACACGCTTACAACAACCATGTGTTTAAGAAAACACACAATGCACAACTAAACAAAACGATCGGACAGTTATTTTGCGAATCATGCCGAAGAACCGATCCAAAGAGTATAATAAGTATAGGGGTACCGATCGGAAAAATCACCACGAAAGAAATTCAGATTTTCAATACTGCGGAATGTCATCTGACTGTCAATGTCAAACTTAATAATTTATGCTGATCGTTCGAAAACGAGCATAGAAATCACAAATCGATACAAAAATACAAAACAGTGCTCATGGCTCATGATGTATCAATCACCGACTGTTTTTACTCAAACTAATTATTAATTTTAAAAAAATATTTAAAGATAGACCTGAAAGAATTTATTTATATACTAACTTACTAATAGCACCTTAATGACCATTTCATTCGTTACTTACGAGATTTTAACGACTAATTAATTATGAAATTAGGTTAAACACACAATAATATTTTTTTATGAAATTGGAGGTGCACGAGCAGACGGATCTCCTGATGATCAGCGCTGCATGGAGTTTGTTTCTTACATCATAAGTAAACTTTTCGTTTGTCTTAAATAGTGGTTTCTGCCTGTCCCCATAAGTTCGTGGCGTAAGCGTATGTGGGTAACTGGTTTATCATCACTTCAATACTTAAATACGGTATTTGTATGTACCATGAAAGTTTAAAATATATAATCAATTTGTTACTTCTCAAGCTAATTAATCGCCACCAATTTACGAGCGCTTATCATCTGTCATCATTGTTATCTAATACATATCGGGGTTATCAAGCTGCCGATAGCAATAATTATGTATTATGAAGAAGGCGGAGTGGCTAAGTTATTTTTGTTGTGAACGCAATAATATATTTACATTTACAATGGCATGTACTATAAACTTTAACAGTGATTCCACAGGCAGTTTTTATGCGGGTGATATTGTGACTGGAACTGTTATTTTGGAATTGAAGAATGAACAAAAATTTCAAAGTAATTCTTCCCTTATTTAATTTATGTCTATTACTTATTTGTGAGACTGTCTGATTCAGATGTATTTTTTATTCAATGTCCATAATTTAAAATTTCCGTTTTTTTAGGCATTGATTTAAAAGTAACGGGATTATGTAAAGCCCACTGGACAAGGCCTATGCCTACAATGCCTTACATAAAAATTTATTCTGAAAAGAAGAAAGTCCTTAGTTTGCTAATGACTGATATATTCAGGGATTTGAGTGTTGGTAAGTAATCTTATCACAAAAACGTAGATTTTATAAAACTCATAATAATTATTTATCTTGCATATCGCTTTACAATACTTTCATACTACCTACCAAGCGTACTACTTACACCCATTTGGGCCTATGATAACGTGAACATAGTAAAATAATAACAATTTCTACTGTCACTTTGTTAGATTTTTTGTCGTTTTGGGCTTAGGGCCTGCCATTGCCAAGGAACCTTGTTATTTACCTGTTAAGCCAACCCATCTATTGTTAGTGACTACCTACCTCAAATCAAATCACCCCATGGCAATATTTTAACAGCAGGTGGAATGAGGATATTATTATTTAACACATGATAGTAATTATATCTTTTTGCTATAATGTTTTTAGTAAAATAAAATTATGTTTTTTTTACAGGGAGCGTGTTGCCGGCCGGTGTCCACCATTATCCATTCCATTTCGCATTACCCCCAGATTTACCCTCAACTTTTGATAGTTCTGTTGCCAAAATAACTTACTCAGTAAAAATACAAAGTAAACCAGCTTACAAACTCAGAAAATTAGCAACATTCAATGTATTTGGAAATGTCAATGTAAACCACATGGACGAATACTTGGTGGGTGTTTCGAATCAAAATATATAATATTTTACACCCACAAAGTGAAAATAATTGTAGGTACATACTTCGTAACTATTATTTCATTAATTACACATTGCACTCCTATTTTCTATCTTCAGATGCCGACATTCAACGAGTTTCATAAAACCTTTAGGAATTCTGGAAAATTTACGATTTGTGTTAAAACCTACAGGGCTTTTGCCCCTAGACAAACTATTCCCTTCGAAGTAACATTAGTTAATGAGAGAAAAGTAAAAATTCGAAAAATAGTCATATCGTTGATACAGGTGAGCACATAGTAATCTCAATAAATCAGTTTATAAAGTTTCCTAATACTTACATACTTAAATATTTTTTTTTCTTCCAGAAAATAAAATATAGCGTGCACTCAGGTTATGCTGACGAAGAGAGAAAAATGTGCAAGGCAGAATACAGAAAGTTTTCTCTAAATATAGCTGAGTTATGTTTTTTCAATATGGAGATCCCTCATATTATACCATCTACTATGGATATTGAAGACCCCATGGTACACATATCGTATATTTTTAGGGTGGGTTGATTCTTATTTTACATTTTACAGTCATATTAAATACATTCATCATTTTTTGGATACATACACGGTCAACGGTCGCAAGTCTACCTACACTACACCGCAACGAGATTACTAGTCAACTTCTGTCTTCGACTATACTTATACCCCCCTACCAAGTAACAAAAACATATATCCAAGATATATTTGGCCTACCTTGATAACAGTATATGAAAAATAATACTCAGTAAATAAATTGTTTGTAATTATTTAAACATACCTACACAATTTTTTGTCGACATAGGAAGAATTTTTAAAAGTAGGTAATACTAAGTGCATAGACAACTTGATTGGATAACTTAAATACCTATTTAGTTCTCAAATAATTCTGATCATTTTTTGTTATTATTTTCAGATTCAAGTCATTTTTCCATTCCACACTTCCTTACAAGAAGATATGTCAGTCTTAGTATCGACAGCGCCCGTTCTACATTATGATTTTAAATAAATTAATTGATTGTATTTGTATGTTTGGGTACTTGACTACCTACTAATATTAAAATTATTTTATAATAATATGTTTACTTTTTAACTAATTATATGTATTATTTAATTATTTAGATTAAGATTTATTTAAATAAATTATTTTTGTATTAACTAGGTTTTTGCTCTAGTTCCATGGTTCCTTAATTTCGTGTGGCGATAATATTTATTTATAATTTTGTTAACTGAGTTTTAGTGTCATAATATGAAAAAAAATGATTATAGAATGATATGAATAATAAAATGATTGATAATAATCTATATATATAAAAGAAAGTCGTGTTAGTTACACCACTTATAACTCAAGAACGGCAGAATAGATTTGGCTGAAAATTGGTAGGGAGGTAACTTAGAGCCAGGAGACCGACATAGGATTTTTAAGAAAATCACGAACGGGGACGGGAAAAAATGGGATGGTACGCGTACGAAGTCACGGGCAGAAGCTAGTATGAATTCTAAAAATTTTATAATTCATACTAGCTTCTGCCGTGATTATTAGATTATTCATGATTATTAGAGACGACGCATGAGTTACCTTAGAGTAGGTATTTAAATTAGGTTATCATTAAGAAGAAAAAAAAGCACTACCTAGGGACCTAGTGACTATGACTATGAGAATAACTAGAAAACTCTTTTTATCATTGTACTTTTTTGTACAAAATAAAATCTAAATAACTAATAATATTGTTATTACTTATTTGTTACCAGCCAGTGTTTCAATAAGTTTCATTTCAAAAAATACAGATGGCGTTACTGGGAAAGCATTATTGTAAAACGTATTTTCTTGGGTATTGAAGATTGAACGCTTCGAGTAAATAATATTTTTTTATTGTTACAAAATGTTTTCAAAAAAGTAAATAACCAAAAAGTAACAAAATATGCACATTCTGTACTTTACGTGGCAATACCTTTTGTAGTGCTGCCACCTGGCGGTCAGCATGTAGTTTCACTACTTTTGATGGCGTTGCATCCTTTTAAAAAAGTTCTTTCATTTCATTTGAGTCATTGTAGTGACCACATGTATATAATTAAATATACAATTTTATTTTAAAATTACTATAATAAATATAATTTACTTTCTTCAATTATTTAAAAATTTTGTGTTTAAAAGTTTTTGTTTTGACTACTTCTCCTTTCCATGACTTTTTTTTAAGAAAGCGGAAGTGGTTGGTCCGCCATAATCATTCGTGTGGGTCTGTGCTTGTGTGGTTTGGTTGTAAAAATACCGGTGCCAACCATTATTTTTAATTAGTATAAGTTATGCGTATGAATCCAGACATGGACGATGATGAGAAGGGGTGAGTTTGTTTTCATCTATTTTTGGTTTGGTTTAAGGCTGTCCACGACGTGCCAACTATAATAGGTCAAACTGGCATGTTCGCTTGGTGTGTCGCATTTCACGGATAGCCAGCAGGGCTTGTGAGGTAGCGTTACGTACTCAACTTTGTTAGCTAAAAGTATGATATTTGTCGTGATTTCATTATCAGGTGTCAATTCTCGCAAAATGACATAGTTATAAGCAGTAAAATGTCAATTAGCCTTTTACTTTATACCGGCTAGCGGGCACCGACCCCAAGCCTCGCCGTGCGACTTGCGTGGTACGATCATGGCAGCTATTACTTTCCCATGTTAAAATTTCTCTGATTGTGGTTGCTTTACATTGCCAGAATTAATGTAGAAGTAGTTTATATAACTGTACTTCAACTATAGAAGCTGTTGATGTGGAAACGTCGCAATTCGTAAAATTAACCTTTCTGTGACTAATCGTTGCTTTCTCTTATCGGTGATTTCGCGCTAGGGCATGGCAAGCGTCATATTTTATAAAAAATATGATATTTTCGAGTTGTGAGTTGTTAAAATGAGGTTATTAGATCAATGTTCGAAGTGCCGCGTAGCGCGATCTCATTTACCTACAAGACGCGAAACGTGCTGATTCATTTGCATATGGTTACTTGCGTCGTTGAAAATGTTCATAAACAGTTTTCCTCGATGCCTGCTCGAATAATCATTGTTTCCCGTAAACTCCCGGCCCCCGCTTGTATTGATGGCCATAGACGCCCAAACACAAAAAACAGTGGCCATTACAAGCATGCTCATGGGACAAGTCTGTGATGCATCCTAGGAAAGTGCAAGCTCATCACTTGACTGAGCTAATGTACTGTTTAACTTAAGTTTTAGTCCTGAAAAAGTTGGTTGTTTGATGAAAAGTGTTGTTATTAAATAACAATGAAATTTTAGTCATAAACTTTCCAAGTAATTAATTCTTGCCTCTTCACTTGACTATGGTTGCTTAACATGCAATTTTGGTAGTGATCTATGCAAATGAATGAGCAAAAGAAAGTTAAATGTGTAATTAAAATGAATAAGTGAGCCAAAATCTGCTATACAGAAACAATTATGTACAAGCAGAACTATGACCCAAGAGAAGTGAATGGATACTTTCACCAATCTTGGTAAATGTGCATAGTCAACTCTAAATTATAACTTTAGCATAACTTTCAATATGACTACTGTATGACAATGTAGTGTAGCATTGATTAGATAAAATTACTGATTAAAAAGTACCATACTTATTTATTTAATATTTACTGTAGAATTTTATGTAGATTGTGACTCATTTTGTCAGTTATCTATCAATAAGGCCACATTGACTTCTGAGTTTAAGCGTTGTTCGAGCTAGCTTAGCACAGAAAGATAAGCACATGTGTTGTTTTAGCATGAGCACATGCTTTTTAGTTTAAGTTTAGTACACATGTTCATTCAGTAAGATGCTTTTGCTGATATAATTTCACTCTAGCATGCTTACATCAAAAGTAACCATTTTCGGGTATATTTTTGTACAAAAAAATCACAAGTTGAGTCATCATTCGCAATAATTTCTGATACAAAGAACCTTGAATATAGTTCAATCCAAGTATTTTACCCTAGTGAACTTTACAAACACAGTATCCATTACACATAAATGTACATTCTTAATGAATAGTTTACCATTTGCATCATTAAAAACAATTGTGGACTTAAGTACTAAACCGGTCCTTATCATTTACTAAATGACATTTAGTATTAATTCAATGTAGATAGCAACAGAGTGTAGTACTAACATGTGTTTTTAGGCCATTTATTATAGTTAGTAACTGACCGTTGAAACATAAAATATAGATTGCTAAAATTCAATCAGTTGTGTCATACTTTTAAATCGGAGTTTTTGTCAATTACTGAACATGAATGAACGCGATTGCAGTGACAGGTAAGCAGCTTTGAAATTGATATATAAAATTAGTTTGAAAACAACTATTTTCTCCTATTTTATTGCAATGTAATTTATTGTTATCAAAATATCTAGTTAAAATTTGTAATTAAAGATTGGTTCTTTGAGAACCTAGAAATGCATGGTTTTTAACCTGTTTGTTTTATAATCCTGACACTTGTTATGAAAATAATGACAAGTCACTGTCTTCTGAGGTACAGGTGTTACTTAGTTCAGGTTGTCAATGTGATGGTTCGAAATTGAAATAAAACACATGAAATAAAATAAAAAATCATTTTTGCAAGCATATTTAATTTTGTTAAGATTGAAGACTTGTAAAGATAAGAATTTTATAAATAACAATAATGTGATGACATCATGACACACTATGGCATAATTGTTTACCATAGATATTTTCTGACCTATAGATCAGTACCTAAATAATACAAACTGAGACGCAGGATGAAATATTCTGAATGCATTATCTGAATCAATATTTTCTGAAAACTACATGTGCTTTGAGGCACCTCACTGCTTACACAGATTTTAGCCTTTGTTCCACTGCCAACCATTTTGTTTTTAAATGCTTTGTTTTTTATACAAGTCTGGAAAAAACTAATTTATTATCAAACTTCTAAAGTAAAGGGATTATTTCGGGTAAAATATTCAAAAGTCAACAAAGGGACATTTTAATATACTTCATTCATAATTCTTAATGACTAAAAAGCCTTCTCCCGAATGTGTTCGTAACAGTTTCCACAGCCGGACTGAATCCGCGTTGTCAAGGACTTGAAGGTCATTAAAATTCATTACTAAAGTCACTTTCGCAATGCTTTGGTTTAATTCCAGCTTCCATGTTATTATCTCGCGATTCGCAATCATTTTTTGAGAAAGCTTTCAGCTGGACCTTTTACCTAGTAATCGAAAAATATCAATTTTAAATGATCCTAATGTTCCTGCAAGCCCACACGGCCACCAAGCGAATGTAGTCTTCAATAGACAACATTTAAAAATGGTCTTGTTTGTAAAATGCGGTACAATAAGGTGTCGTTGTAATAACGCAAAACGACCACGTGGCGATGCGTCAACAAGGAAACTTATTAAAATCTGCTCCTATGATTTCCTTGTGTCTAAAATAATACATGCATGTGGCAGTTAGTGGACAAGCCAATCTAATAAATCCCAAACTTACTTTTTTAGTTCTATAAAATATCTGTATTGCATCCTTTTGACCCAGAAAACTGTTCGTCGGGGGTCTTTCTTGGGAGACATCTCAAGAGAATTTACAACGATACTTCTCCCGTTACGGCGATGTGATCGACTGCGTAGTAATGAAGAACAGCGAATCTGGCCGATCCAGGGGATTCGGCTTCGTCACCTTCGCTGAGCCAGCACTGGTCAACGTAGTGCTGCAAAATGGGCCTCATCAACTTGACGGCAGGTAAGGAAATAGAAACTAACACTTCATAAAGCATAAATCAGCTGTTTATACTTCTCAGACTACGTGGAATTGACCTACGCTACGAAATAGATGAATGTATAGCTATGAAAAATGATGTCATGAATAGGAATGTGTTTGTAAGAGATTTCTACATTCACTCTTCAAACGTTAAAATCGTGTTCCAATAAAAACATTAAAGAATATCGAGCTTCAACAGTCTTGTTTGAAGATTAGGTTAAGCCTATTAGTATTACGAGACACATGAACATACCGTTACTTGTGTGAATAGCATCAATTTACCACGGGTAAGCTTTTGTTACACAGTTTCTACTTTTCCATTGACTGTTATCTTGGCGTAATAAAATTCTCAATACCACCGGTTTTTTAGGTATGCACATAAAATATTTTTCATATTTCCAGAAGAAATATAGAAAGATTTTCCTGAATATATAAATAATAATATACATATTGTATTGACCCCGATCGCGGGCGCAATAATAAATCATGTCATGACCCGACAGATTCTCATGTTATAGACATCTATCACAGTAATATCCGCGTGAAATCTTTCTAAAAAGACAATGTTGCATCTGCAAATAATTGTGACCTAATTCTTGAAACAGAAATAAACTGTTTGTATGGCCTTACTCAAACAACTCCGGTTCACCTGTCATCGTATACATTTTTAATTTTATTTCAGCTTTGGTTTTAAGGCTATGTCGTAGCGGCCTACAGATAAAAAAGTCAAACACTATCCATGTTCGTCACTAAATTTTGTTTTAAGTAAATTACCAAATGATAAAAATGTGAGATTCGAAATATTGTCGGTCAAAGTTAGTTGCTCATAAAGCTATAATAGCTTTATGAGGTCGTTTCGCATCATGCTTATGCATCATTAAGGAAATTATTTAGAAAATATCACCGTTTTTGAAAGACCTTGTTGATTTACTGTGTCGTGATACAGCGTACAGCTGCTGGACTTTGAACTTGAGCCGTATAATAAACTTATTTGTCATGTTATAAGCATACTTTAAATAAATATTTTAATAATTTCACGTGTTAAATATTAAAATAGCTGGTTTCATTTCAAATATTGTCGATTCTGTGGATTTTCTTCGATCATGGTGTACGTGCTTTCACAAAACAAACTGTCAGAAGATAATTTCCTTATTAAGGCGATTTTGCTACGCTAAGAAATAAGTTGCCCAATCGTGATTGTTCTCAGACTAGGTAATTAATTGTAGATATTTCATACAAGCCCGTGTTGCACGCTGTTGCGTGTTGGAGATCTACATTACTTTTCCTATTTATGAACTTTCAAGGTCCAACGAACTAAAAAATAACGATTAAGTTAACAAAGCAAATACCTAGAGTTAACATTTTCTGCGAATACGTTGTCCTTATTGCATTAATTATAGAATAGGAAAATCTTGTTCCGCGGAAAAACAAACAGTGAAATTGTAAATTTAAATTAACTTATGTATGGCTTACAATCGACAAAAGTCGATGCATTATTCATAGTCCTATCACAAAAATGTAACGTATAATTTTAATGTTACGCTACTCCAACATAAAATGTTAATTTCCCAAACTATTTTAATGAAAATACTTGGCGAATTGTTATTAAATACATTTTCAAACTAAAACTTTGCTTTACAATTTTGGGGTATTGAGAACTCGAGCGGAGGGTGATTAAATTCTAGTACAAATTGCAAATAACGTCTGAATCTTTAGCGAGTCTTTTAGGTCAATCTAAGGATTTTTTGTAAAATATCCACATCCAGGCAGTGCCTTCAAGTACACTACTGATTGGTACGTTCAGATGTTTGTGGGACAATAACATGCAAATCGTCAACCTATGCTTCTTGTTCTTGTGAATAAGAAGTCTACAACGTTTGCGACAAAATATTTTGCCTTCATTAACACTCAGATTAGTATGAACTGTATAGATAACCGCATCGGTGCTGAGAACGAACTACAATATGTTACATTCTCTTTTTACTGATACCGATACAAAGAAATGTAGAGGAAACGCTTTGGACTTCGATAACGAAGTTTATAACTTACAATATCTTTACAATTGGCATTTATCCATTCATTACTTATTTCATGTTTATAATCTAAAGTTCGCGCAGTCCCTGACAAGATTGGGCGGAGAGAGCCAGATGAATAAATCAAAGTAGAAATGGTTTGCATAATACAAACTAGAGTTATAACTCGCAAACTGTAAACGCACGGTTCAGTTTCTTAATGAAAAAAACACGTGTTTAATATACATATAGATATAGAAGCGGAACTAAGTTTTTATAGCTTATTTCCACACATTGAAATGTATTATTGTTCTGTACAAATTAAACTATTGTTACTCTTAGTTTAACACTGCAAAATTTACTTGAAAAGAATGCGTAACTATAATAAATAAAATTACATTCCACATATTGTTCGTATCTTAATTAAAAGTTTTCACATCTGATTAAATATTAGGCGTCGTATCCAGCAGAGGGTAATAAACTTAAAATTATTCAACACAACGAGAACATCAAGTTTTAAAACTAAAAATAGAATTAACTGCATTTAGCGATAAACGATGTATTTCAAATATGCAAATACACGAAGAATACATGAATCTAGCACAACCACTTAAGCGGGTTGACTGGGAAACGAAGACAGATAGGATTCAATTGGCACTAGAAAGAAGCGGTACCCTGCATACAATAACGATACCGCATGACTTCAATGCAACAAACTCGCAGAGATATACTCAAGATATATTCGCTCATTGATTTGATCTGAATTCCAAAGTCACATTCGCTGTACTACAAAAATAACTTATATAATGGGGAATTTCCATTTATTTCGCAACATTATAAAATGGTAATTGTTATTTTATTGTGTAGTTTGAAATTCCATAGATATTTTCCAAGAGTTGTCAATCACTAATCACCTGCATTAAATAAATTATACATTCAACAGTTGCCAACGACATTGACTTTTATGTATTTGAAATCGGGGTCACTTGCAATAATAGGAATTTTAGTCGATGCACCATCGTTTTATTTTATTCATAACCGTTATACGGACATATTTAAAACTATCCTTAGATTCTAAGAATACATATCCCGCACCCCTACCGCTACACGTGTTCACAGGTCAAACGCGGCCACACCCGTAATTCGCTTGGCGTGTTGTTACAAATGCGCTCCTGGATTTCATCCTAAGCAAAGCCTCGTGACGGATAAAGGAATTACTGGCCATCCAATACTCGGTGTCTCGTTAAATTATAGCGAAGGGGTTCTGTTCAAAGAATAGGTCGTCTTGAAAAAATACTATATTTTTTAAAAAAGAGATCCTTCTGGTTTTCGGACACCATAATGGTTATTTTATGACTTGAAGAAAAACTTCATTTAGGGAATATTTAGTCGTGTAGGAAAAAATAATTAAGTAATTATTGCATAAAAATGGAATACTAAAATAAAACAAAGATAGAAATAAAACGTAACAGTCGTTATTATGCTCTTTAATGTAGATTTCAGAATCTTGAACATCAGTTACGTGTGTCTAAAGTTTGTACAAGTAGTCTCCTTCTTGGAACCGATAAAAAGTACTGACCTCAATAGTTATCACTTTAATTTATTAAACATATATAAATATTTTTGCTACGGGTAAATACTCATATTCAATTCATAAATGTAGAATATGCGAAGTAATGAAATAACTAAGATAAAAACGTAGGAAGTAAAAATACAGTAGAATTGAGAACCAACTCTTTTTTTTCAATGGATTGAAAAGAAATACAAGTAATTAGTACATGTCGTGTCACAAAATGGCCGCCATGGAATCAATTTTGATGACAAGATGGCGGCTATCTGGAAGCTATTTTGATTATTTCTAAATGTAGACAGGTTTTAAGATATTTGAATGTTTACCAGAACCATCGATCCGAAGCCGTGCAATCCTCGCACGCTTCAGAAACCGAAGCGCGGTGGCGGTTACCCCAAGGTCTTCTTGGGAGGACTTCCATCCAATGTCACCGAGACCGATCTTCGGGTTTTCTTCGGCCGCTACGGCAAGGTCATGGAAGTGGTCATCATGTACGATCAGGAAAAGAAGAAATCCAGAGGTAAGTGTCTCCTTACATCACCTTGAATCTTCTACATAGATGTAAATGTTGGGACAGAAGAGTTTCATGTATTGCTTGTTCATCGCAGCTTGCTGTCGAGGTGAGAGGACGTGCGTGCATAACGCCGGTAAACCACATTATGCAAATCAGTTAATTTTATTAATGTTTGGAGGCCAAAATGATAATGGCATTGCCAAGTCTCGAGGGCCGCATTATGAGGGAAGTTTGATGAAAACCTAGTTTAAAATAAAACATATTACTTTATCGCACTAACTTCCAATTAAAGTCATCCTTACTTGTCACATGATAAAAATACATACTGATTAGATGTCTTAAATTATATTAATTTAATAGTGATTTGAATAATGTGTATTTTAAACTAGTCTATTGTATTGATAGCATTTTATGTTGTGTTTGACAAAATATTTACAATTTATTCTCCTGCTTACAGAACAACGGGTTTCTATACAATATGTATAATTATGTATTTAAAAACTAGTATGTAATATTTAGTATCCCACATCCAGGCAGCGCCGTTAGTTACTACTGTCGGTGCGTTAAGTGTTCGTGGGAGATTAACACGCAAATTAGCATATACTCTTTGTTCCTATGGGCAAGGGAGTCTACAAGGTTTGCGACATGTTACCATTTACGTCTGTTTACAATTCTCTTGATAGGTCAAACATGCAGCTTACTCGAATACATTGAGTCTCAACACACACACTTTCAAATACCATAACGCGATTTGTAAGCTGACTACTTGAAATATAGATTTTTCCAAAGAAAAAGCGTTTCCGAACAGTAACACAATCTAGGGTTAACGCAATCGAAATGATACGACCTCAATCGTGAGCTCAGTGAAAGGTGTCACCCTTCGGGGCGACTTTATCAAACAATTTACGACTTGTGTAATTTGTACGACCGGTTGCGAGCTGAGGGTTGTGGACATCACTGGGCCGAACACATTTTTTATTAGTTCGCTTCATTACGAGAAAATTGCTTCAATAAACGAGGAAAGAAAGGAACGGGTAGTCCATCGCTGTTATGAAAACGTTGACAAAGTAACATTCCTTACATAAACATGGAGAGCTATTCACTGCTATATTACGCTAGCTAGGCTGTAACTTGATGTTTCTTCGTTACATATTATATTATTTATCTATGCATATAAACATGTATGTGTTTTAGTCAATGTGTTTTTGGTGTTTCCCAACTTTGATATCTTTTCAAAATATGAATATGACATCGGTTGTTCTAGGCTTTGGATTCCTGTCTTTCGAGGACGAGATTTCTGTTGAGAGGGTCACTCAAGAGCATTTCATCAATCTCAATGGAAAACAGGTAATGTTACTATTTTTATACGTTCTTTGAAAACATCAGTTGTTTGCCAAATATTTTCGTAGCAATGTTCGTAAAACAAACTATCGCTGAGATTCGTTAGTCGCGGAGAACCTAACGGGTAACCGGGGCTCCGGCTCGACGTGCAGGAGAAGGAACGGGGTGGTTTTTAGTCAGTAAGAGTCTGACACTCCCTTCCGCCTCACCCAGGCGGGAGCAGTCATTCGATGATTTTCCCCCCTTAAAAAAATCGCTGAGATTCGTTGAGATCGGGAATAAAAACAAAAGTTATTTTTTTAATATGTCTTGTTTAGGTTTTTGTGTTTTGTAGTAAAATCTATTAAATTAATAGGATTAACCTTTGTGGTTTCGTTGTTTTGGAAAACATACTGGAATACGACAAGGGAGTTTCCACTGGAATTGGTTTGTTACTTACATATATGTGACAAATAGGTGTAGGCATGTTGAACAGCAAAATATTTGCTACAAAGTTCTTAATAATAGTATAACAGGTAAACTATATTGACTCGCAACTCTTACGTAGCAACAGTAGTTATTTCTATATGTGACATCATATAATAACGAACGTGTGACGCATGTTTTATCTTGTACGGGTGAATGACTGCTGGAATTTAAGACGTGTAACTTATTGCTTGCATTTTCAAATACAATTGCGTTTTCTTTTAAACATAGTAATATTACTGATCATTGTAAATTGACACAAACAATCTTAGATTGGTTTCGCAAGGTCACTTTACACATATTTAGGTCATGGGCAAATAAATATACAACTAACTGTTAACATTCCGAATGATACAGAATTTTGCTAAATTAAATTGGAAATGTGGTTGGTTGACGGAAGAGTTGTGTATGTACGCAGGTGGAGATCAAGCGCGCCGAACCACGCGATGGGTCTGGCAAGCTAGGTTCCGGTGCAAGTGGAATGGGCGGTGGAGCCCTGAGTGCGCCTGGCGATGCGCCCCAAGCTGGGCAGTGGGGCCCACCGGCCGCCGCGCCCATCAACATGATCCAGGGCCATAACGGCCAGATGGGTGGCCCACCCATCAACATGCCTATGGCTGGCCCTAACATCATGCAAGGGTCAGAACTTGTTCCTTTTTATATCTTATGTATTATTTCAAAGGCTTATTCAAATTGACCCTTTGTGATTCAAGACTATTTCTTGTGTAATTGCTTAGTTTGGAATCAATGATTTTATATTTGTACGGATTAAGATTTCCATTGCTCTTAGCAGATAAATATGGCTGCAGTTGAATAAAGAAACCAGATGTTAATGTGTGGACGATTGCGTAGGTATCAAGGCTGGGGTACATCCGCGGGTAACGCTTCGTATGCGGGATACGGCGCGGCGGGTGCAGGCGCGGGCCCGGGCAACTACCAGGGCTGGGGCGCGCCGCCGGCCCCGCAGGCCCCGCCGCACGCGCCCGCCTGGCCCGCCACCAACAACTACACGCAGCACACGCAGCCGCCCGCGCAGGGATACGGCAGCTACGGTACGTACTGCATGCTCTACCTCGCACTCTCTAGCCCAGCCGACACCGACACCGAGCCACGGCAGTCTACCCTACACCAGCCGATTACATTCTTTTAACACTTATTTTATTAGGACTAATTTATGTGTAGTTGTTTGTTATTATTATCTATAATGCCGAGTATAGCTATCTCCGGGCAGCAGTACAGACCCAGGCCCACTGTGTGGGCTGCGATTGGTCGACGATTGTAATAAAACGGAAGTATGAACCTTAAACATAAGTACACGCAAACGCCTGCGCAGAGCTACAGCAGCTATGGTCAGTACACACCTCTAACGTAATCAGTTTGTTATAGACAAATTCGCATGTCTAATGGAGGGTAGGTGATATTTCCCCCAAATAATAAACTAAAAAATCACGACCAGCACTCAGTATGAAGAATATCCACATCCAGGCAGTGCCTTTAAGTACATTACTGATGGTACGTTCAGATGTTTGTGGGACAATAACATGCAAATTGCATATACTTCTTGTTCCTGTGAATAAGAAAGTCTACAAAGTTTGCAACAATATTAACCAATCACAAAAAATATAAACTGGCTATAATTAAAAGAAGACAACAAAAGGCGTTGCATACATGCAACAAGCTGTCTTCCTTAGAGATAAATTCATTCAAAAACATACAAAGAATCAGAAAACCGACATGTTTACCAAGAAAACGATACTAAACTTGTCGATTGCAAGAGCCTATCGCAGTCCACTATAGGCCTTAAAGTCCCGCCACCCACACCTCCGCCTGTAGTCAGTCAGGTGCCAGTTCCTGGTATTAATGTAATGTTATTGGTGTGTACAGCTAACTACAGCTCTGCGCCGGCGGGCGCGTCGGCCGGCGGCAGCTGGACCAACTGGAACATGCCACAGAACTCCAATTCTACCGGCTCCGGTGAGTACCGGATCTTGAACACTGCTTCAAGTCCGAACAATCTATGCATTCACTATGTAGTTCCATTTTTAGTAGATTTAGAAATACGCACGTAGTTTAGTATTGTTGTCACAGCTGCTCCAAAGCGGTAAAGGAAACCGGACATGCTCACACAAAGGTTCTAGTAAGGTTTGAGTAGTGTTTAGATGTCCATACATACATTTAGTAAATTTATTGTTTAGTACTATCACTTATAGAACAGTTCCGAGTCCTAACAGGGGTAACGATTGTTCGCTGGTGTGGTAAGCAGTTGTGTAATGTTAGACTTGTACCATACAGGGTCGTACGTGCCGCTGTCTGAGGGCGGCGAGATGTACGGTCGCGGCGGCGGCGGTGGCGGCGGCGCCGGCGGGCCCGCGCTGACGGGCGCGCTGTCGTCGGCGGCGCTGTCCAAGTCGTCGTCCGCGGACTACTCCACGTACCAGCAGTACCCGCCCGCCTACCAGCAGGACCAGGTACACGCGCAACAATACCTCACACAACACGCCGAATAGAATAGACATAGACCTAGACCCGACATACACCTAGTTATTACTAGAGGGAGCGTGCTTCGATACTACTCGCCGTCTCGCATATCTCACTCGATAAGATCTCGTAACGAAATATGACTTTAAATAAAATTTACTACAGCCATTCCATTTGTGATTAACATATCGACCACGCTCGACTCTCTTACCCATCAAAAATTGTTAAACAAAATTATCCGCTTACGTACTTGCGATACTGGCGAGAGTACCGTTAAAACCGGTAAACTAAGATCTTCCAAATATATTCTAACTACGAGCCAGTCATGGCCTTTGACTATGCTATTTTATGAAATTCTTTTACAACTAGGACATGAATGTAAAAGTGATTATATTTTCAATGATTTTGTAATAAAATGTTCGAAATTCTTGATCCTAGAAGCCAGTATCTCATTTGCTTAGCCCATTTAGTTTTGTTACTTAAAGAAATTTTAATTTGTACCGAATCACAGCCGAATTATACTGGTTTATGGAAGAAATTATGCTAAATATTATCAACCAAATGTGTAACTTGATGGAACCTACTGTATACTTGTTCTAATTGGAATATAAGGTCTGAGTGGCACTTATCGAGGCAGTGTTAAGATTATTCCAAATATTTCAGTTCTGATTCGGCTTTCCCATATAATAATAATACATGATAAAGGTGTGTTTATAATTCAAGAGTCGCCAAACAACGCCAATAACTCGATTATTCGGTGAAATGCGGTCATCGACCGGGCATATAAAGACTTATCTACTAAGCCAGGAGATAAATGCGAATTCTTCTGGCGTAGCATTGTTTTTATAAACACTTCTTCAATCATTATTCGTGCCTTTTTGCGTTTTACCCAGCATGCATCATTTAGAATTTTAGGCTATTGCTCCGGTGATGGTATGGTAACTGCTAATACATTATTGCCATTTTGGGTGAAGTTTTGCATTTGGAGGTAAAGAAATACATTTTTATGCTTTATTAGACTTCGGAACCCATATTAAAAGGGATTGTGTAGTGTTTGCTATAGAATCATTTTTAAAATGTAATAAAAATGTGTTTTTCGATCTCGGTTCATGCTTTTGCCAAATCAAATATTACCCGTGCCCACATTGACACAGCGCCGTTTACTGCAGAAAAAAATCCATTAGCTTGTTTTATGCGAGTTAGATCATAGTTTCGCTCATGTAGCAACTTTTGCTTCACATGTTTCATCGACGTGGCGAAAAAAAAAAGAAAACAAATGCAAATTATAGTCGAGACTTGGGAACTCTGCATTGAAGATTCTCAATAGTTTTGATTGTAACAATAACTGTTAATCGCGAAAACAGAGCGCTAAGTAAAATACTACATGTAATGGTAGCTGTGTCAGTGGGTCGCATGAAATAGTTAACAATACGAGCCCGATTGAGATGTAGCGGCGACCGACGACGCCACTCTACATGAATGGCCTCGGCGACCCGTACTGTGTGGTACAAGATATTGGATGACTTTTTGTTTGCTTATTTGTCGCATTCCATCATCCAATGTCGAAATCGCAAACAATATTTGAACCATATCTTGGATGCAAATCTCAGTGGTTTGAAAAGTTTCCAACTTCCAAGGTACGGCTTTGTGTCCATGTTTGTCGCCTGTAGCTTATTTATTGATAGCTGCGGACGGTAGTTACACAAAAGTACAGCCAAGTTGACCATCGTATAATTAATATTATTTGCTCATCACCTCAGGGCTTGCATCCTTCCTTTCCACACTCCATGTTCCTTCGCTTTACTCTTTGATTTGTATCCTGCATCTACCTTTGTATTAGTATGGCGTGGTAACGTTGTGCCCGTTATAGCATGAATGACTTTCCGACATTATTATATCTGGTGTCAATACAGAATTCTTGAAGTGTGTGTGTGCTGTGTGAATGCTTAAGGAACTCCGTACTTTGCATAGTTCAATTTGGTTGTACTTGCAACAAAGTTGTTTGCGATATAAGAATGAATGGAAGTGGCTGTACGTAGTGGTGAGCGAGTGATATTCAGCGAAAACTTTGGTTCACGAACGCGAACAAAGGAGTCGCGGCTAAAAGCAGCATGAGTTGATAGTATAGAGCCATTAGTATGCCACCCCTGCATCCGTGTGTTGTGTTCGAAATGCTTGTTTATATAACGATAATGTCATACGCGGCGACGACGAAGCCCACTTATCTGCATGTTTTCAGTGGCGAGATTAATGTGCGATGTCTTTTTGATTTTACGAGCTATGCTGCGGTACATAAGAGAAATGGTAGACGCGGCGCTGTTCAGGGCTGCCTCCCGTGGCCATAGTTGACAGTCGCACCGCTATCCATAGTGAAAAATCAAGAAGATTAGTGTTGTTATCGAGTTTCGCTGAAGGTCTCTCATCACCGACCTCCACGGTCCCTCTGTCCCGCCTCTCCTCCGTTCCCGTCCTCCTTTCGCCTAAACTTTCATCTCGCCCTTGGGGATAGTCACACGCTTTCGCCCGGTCCATCTTCACGCGCTGCGCTACTTACATAAAACTTGCTAAAGATCCAGTTACATTGTGGCGAGTGGGACTTTATTGTCTTGTTCTTCTTTTCCAGTTGGTCGATCAGGGCCCACAAGAGTGGCTCCTCCAGAAAGACAATTAGAGATAAGGGCGGGTATCGGATGAGGGAATGTCGCGAAACACTGGGGATTTCTCACTATGGACGGTCGGTTGTTGCGACGATATCGCGCGCTCATCATAAAGGCATCGCACAGCACTAGATTATAAGCTTACCCTTAGTTCCGTTCGATAATCATATATAATATTGCATTTGTAGCCGTGCGAGATGATTCAATCGCCTTGTTTCATCTCAACACTTGTAAATTGGCATTTAAAGTACAAATTAGTAAAATTTGGATTTTCTCATATTGTTACAGGTTCATTAATAGTTAATTTTATCGATAAAAATAATATTAAGAGCTGTACTTTAAGTGTTCAGAGATGAGAATTCGTCTATTCTGTTAAATGTAACCAGAGTACATTATTTACAAAATTATGTTATTCAAAAATGTCATGGAGCATTTACGAATGCGGCCACATTATTTTAATGAAATAAATCGTTCATCTAGTATAATATGTATAATCATGAGTTTCCTCATTTTATGCTCCATGACGGTTAAAGGACGCATCGCAGCCGAAGCTCGGCCGAGTGTAGACTCGAGAGAGCTATATTTTTATACGTCGTAGAGCACGTAGGAGATGCGCTGTAGCGGAACACGCTTAGGCTTCAGCTCGATGCGTCCGCCGCTAACGTTGCGCGACTGGTAGGGCTCGTCGTACGGCGGCGCCGCGTCGCGCTACACCGCCACCGAGTACCACGGCTCCGCGCCCGCCGCGCAGCCGCCAGGTGTGCACCATCCGCACCACGCTCCCAAACACTTCAACGCCAACGAGTTTAACAAGGAGTGGCCCGCCGCGTAGGCACACACACACACTCGTACACCACTGTACGGACAGACACTTGAGTTCTGCTCCGTGCGCTCACACGACCGCAGTGTGGTTAACTACAGTCGTATCGCTCACACGTTAATAATATACACTATTCTTTTCTAAAGGTACGTAGAGGTAGGTAGAGTGAGTTCTGTAGTTTGTTACGCTGCGATAGACGCACACTCAGACGTTGATCTACCTTCTAGTACGCACTTGTAAGTAGTGTTAGTAATTTGGCGCTTGTGAGACACTGATTGTGTTTGTCATAGTAGATGTAGGCCATTCCGCTTGACGTTTGATCGATGCAAGTGCGTGCTCGAACGGTTGTATTCGATCGACTCCATCTATCGATTCTAACTTAGTCGATATACCTTATAACGACAAAGAGAATAGGGATAGTTAGTGTTTAACCGATTTGTTAACATATACCATAAAACTGACGCGAATATTTCGTATACCTCTGTGAAACTTCCCAATAGGTGATAGATTTGTAGTTATGTGTTTTTTGGATTTCACGACCAAAACGATATTAACGTGAAAATAGAATATTGAATACAATGCAACAAATTAATATTTATATTGTAACTGATAAAGTTAATGGATACATTTAAATTTTATGCATGCAAGTATCTAAAGTCAAGAAGGCGGTTATAATAGTTAATTTATAAAGTCACCGAAGACTACATTAACACAAACCCACACGCGTAATTAAGCGTTAATTTAATAAGTAAAATTAAAATATAAAATAGTTTAAATTAACATTCAGAACCATTAGGTGTAAAAGTCTTGTCTACTAATTTAAATAAGGTACTCCCACACTTCGCAAGTTTTGGCACTCGGCCGTCTCTGAACGCTACGAAGGAATGATATTAAGACACTCGCTAGGCACTGGCCACGCGGGCGACGCGGCGACGTGTACCGCGACTCTGTCACTCGCCCAGAAGTTTTCGCGACCCCTCTTCTATAGCTAAACGATGCTGTCTTTTGCGCGTGTACTACATTGTACACACTTTTTTAATTAACTTTGCTTTTAATATTCTATTTGGATGTGGGTTTTATTGTGAAAGATTTATTTTCTCTTGACACATTTCGAATGTTTTAGTAAGTTTTGTCGGTTTGTCTAAAGTGATTTCTTTTAATAATGTCGTGTACGTGTACGGAGTAAGGCCGCGTAGAGCCGGGCCGCGCCGCCGCCCGCTCCGCCGCGCGATCGCGTGACGCACATTTGACAGACACTGTTAAACAAGGCCAATTTAGGGAAATGACCTAAAAGAACTTAACTTAAGCTAATAACTTGTATAAATATTTGGTATATATATCGGTATGTATGTTTAATGTTAGAATTTTGGTTATTTACCACACACTAGACTTAGGAAAACGGTAGGCATATAATGAGATAATTATGTGTTAATATTAAACAAAACATAGTTGACTGACGTGATTTTAATATTTTAATTATTCCCGTTTTTGAGAAGGGAACAATTCTGTATAAATATTCGTAATTTTAATTTGTTTTCTTATATGCATTTTAGTTTTTTATCGCAATTTTTAAGTTGATACTATTATTATATGGAATTTATACTTTAATGAATTAAATTTACCTGCCAAATTGTTAACGAGCAAACGATATTGTCGTATGTGTTAAGTAATGAAGCTCAAGCATTTAGGATATAGTTCGGTACGTGACGCGCCCGGCCGCAGGCAGCGCGCGCACCCCTCGCGCCCTCGCCATACATTTGTACATATATATACTTACTTGTGTGTAAAGCATAATTTTAATCGATTCTCTCGTCACATAGTTTTAAAGTTTTAATTTATGTGATTGCCAAATATTTTTAAAACTGTATAGAGCTTTCGCCGGCCGCTACGGCCGCTATGTTAGTCGTATCATAATATGTACCCGACGCGGTCGCGGGTCGCGCGGCCGTCCCGCCCCGCTACAAAGTGAGTTATAATTTAAAATAACATTGTTAGATTAAATTTAATGTTAGTCCTTTACTGTACTATATCGCTCAATCGTTTGACCGATCGACTGATTAAAATTTTAGTGATAAGCTAAGTAATTAATCGCGGGGACGGCAGTGGCCGCGCGGCCGTCGGCCCAGCGCAACGGCGCCGCGTCCGACCATTATTTGTTGTAATTATCTTAGAGTTTACGGTCACTGATAGACTGCCCGACGCCCGGACACGGGAGTTGTTCCTTTAATTTTAAATAATAGAACCGCGCCGCGCCGCGCTCGATAAGATTTGTTAATAAATGTTTTAAATAGACGAATTGTTGATGATTACATTGAATGCATAATTTGATCGTTTAGAATATAGGGTTATTTAAGATCGCTCCATAAGTAAAGTATAATTTATCTATTGAGGAATATTGTGAGGTGTAAGCAAATTTTATAAGTGACTAGCGGTCTGGGGCGAGGGGTGCGATGTCCCAAATTTAACGGTAAAACATAGTGAAGAAGCCTTTTACATTGTGATGTTCATAGTTAACGCGCATACATTTCTTATAGCTCTTAAAATATACATATAATAACATAACAGACTCGACTGAGACTCAATCAGTATGTAGGAAAGTGAAACTCGTACCTTATAACAATATAATGAAATAATAAGATAAACTAATCGAGGTCGGTGCCTGACTGCCCATTAGGTTACGTGTAGATGTGCCGCTTTGTACCGCTTCGTTTACTCTTCGTTCCTATGTTAGTTAGGTTAATTTGTCTCGATTCATTCCTGGTTATTTTTATCGTTCTCGGCATAGGTAGTGGTTCGTTCGTTTCGGTGTCACTGTCTCTCGTCTCGCTTTGTACTAGTTGCATTTGTTGGCACTAACCCGGCCGCACAGGTCCGCACATGTTCAGTTCGCATAATACCATTATGTTCCATTGTTTCGATTACGTTTTTATACTTACTGTAGGTTTAATGTACATCCACCGATGATACGAACGAAATTGTTCACATCTGTTTTAATATTAGGAAACGATGCCTTACAAAAAGTTAAGTGAATATAGAGATGATTTATAATTATGTTATTTTCGATGATAACGATTAATTAGCACTAAGGTGTTTAGACACGGGCTCGGCCCCGCACTCACAAACCTTTGGAACAATTTAAGAACTTAGTTTGTAATGAACCAACGTGGCAATCTTCTATTAACATAAAGAAATAATTTATTTAAAATAAAGTATAATATGTATTAGAAATTTTAGATTTACTCAACATTAAACTTAGTGCAAATTATTGTGAAAAATCAATTGAGACTATTTATATGGGTTTTAATTATTATTATATAGGAGAAGAGCATTAAAATATTGGATGAATTTATTAATTAAAATAGTTAGCAAAATACAAATACGATAAGACTCGTTAGAGGCTCGTCTGTCAAATGTGGTGTTCATGCGGGCGCGTCGCTCCGCACCCGACTCCCCGCGGCCTGTACCACTGTACCAGAGTACCACTGTACCACTGTACCAGTGTCCCACTGTACCACTGTACCACTGTACCGCGTAGTACTGGGTACATACATTGCATACACACCCTGAGCGACGACACGTGCATCCCTTGCATTTTAATATTACAATCTGTAATATCGGTATAAGATATGCAGCTGTATCTTAATGTTTATGGAATAATTAATATTTTAATCATGGCTTAACTGTAGTACTGTTGCGTAGATAACCTTTCGACTCTTGTTTGTATTACTTTATATTATAGTGTACGCGGTTTTTATATGTGTATGTTTATTCAGTAGTATATAAAGGAAACAATGTTTTGTGTAAAAGTGTATTTTGGTATAATGATAAAAGTAACGTTAGCCCTGTTGGTGCGAGCAGGGCGACGCCGCGCGGGCGGGCGCGTGGCGGCGCCGTGCTCGTCTACATTAATATATTTATGATCGTAATTGACTAATTATACAAGACCCCTAGTGTTAAACGTTAGATTAGCAGTCGACTCATTTTAAGTTCACTGTTTACTCGTCTTTTTAAAATTAATTCATTTGCATTTACATGTATATCAGAGGACGACCAAATCGTCCAACTTAACTGTAGTCTTTTCGAAACTTATTTTAAAAACAATGCAGGTATTATTAAATATAAAACCTCATATTTATACTAGAAGTTAATATAATGTAATTATTGATCCCGAGTCAGATAAATTTTCACGGGCTTTACAGTTAATTATAACATTAATTATTATAAAACCTAGGGCAAGTTGTTATTTATTTCTGTTTTAATTAAAAAAAATTGATGTTGATTATTTTTTAAACTATTATTTTCTTTATAGTAAATAAAAGTACATAATCCTTGATCGATTAGAAACAAAATTGTTAGGTGAACTATCGACTGATGTACAATATTTAAAGTAATGTTTACTGACAGCAGTACCTATATAAGTTTAATTTACCCCGGCCCAGTACGGGCCGGCGCTGTATTTATACACACTTGTATTAATTTCCTAAAATGTAATTAATCGGAAGCGGCGAACGCGAAGTAGCCACAAACTAAGCATGTTACAATTGTAAGACTATTATCTAGATTTGTTGTAATCTTGTAATGTGTAATCTACTATATACTTAGCCCTATCTTGGTGAAGCCTAGCGGGGCGCGCGGGCGACTGGTCGTCTCGCGCGTCCCACATAAGTTACTTTATGTTCGTATAAAAAAGAAAATTATGATAGATTTTACACGTGCGTCCTTATTGTTTCTTTTTTACGAAGATTACCTAATGATAATTAGTTAATTACGGTTTTAATTATTAATTTTAACCGAAGCACTAAAGTAAGACGAGAAGCTTGTACGCGATGATTTATTGATGTAATAAGTGCTATCACATACATAACACTGAGGTCTTTCGGAGTAGAAATTATGCATTATTCATATTAGGTATTTTGGGTATATATATTTAGTGTTAGATTTAACTGGTAACATAAGTATGTAGTTTATAATGTAATGGAAAGAAATAAACACTTTTGTCGTAGTTTCCTATTATTAAGCTTCTTCTATCTTAATGGATTAAGTAACTACTGGTTGATTAATAAAATATTAATATTACCACTGCAAATATTTGAGATATCTTATGATGAAATATATATCTACTTTAAGGACATTATAAAACGTAGATAATTAAAAGAAATCAAAAATTTCAAAATAAAATGGCAGTTTTAATGGTGAAACACAACCCTTTACTCCCCGTGAAGTACACTTTTCACACATAATTTTTGTTTGTTTTTGTTTTTTTATTACTAGTTGAGAACCCCATTAATGAATAGTACATTCATAATAGTCTTACACAAACGGCAGTATAGATAGACATGAACACGACACGTTGCCGTTTCCATTAGTTATATTGCTGTCTTATTGTATGTATGTATGCACTCTATGCACTATAACACAGCTACATACAGTAATATATTGCACCTATGTATCTATCCTATCCTCCTATACTATATTCTATCTGTCGTGTAGCGTTAATCATTTAATATTTGAAATACAATGGCATGATATTTTTTTCCAAATTTTCTTGATAATACTCAAATGAAATTGTTTTATTTTTGCCACACTGCATTTCTAAATAAATCTGGCTACTGTCATTGTATTGAGAATATCGTAGGATTATTTTACGTCATTACAAATGAACTGACTAGTTGTGTACGGCAGAGGGCGACGGTGTGTGCAGTAGCGCGGGCAGTCCCAAGTATATGAACGTACCGCAGATGTCCGACGCCATAGGAACTCCACCTCAGGTCCAGAACCTCCCTATTTACTAAAATTATTACTATCATTCTACTGCTAGCAGTTACTAATTCAATAGGGTCCTAAATAACTTACAATCCATTAGTTACGTACCAGAAATGACTAGGCTCGGTATCATACGGCACTTTGCAGATATATTAATTACCTATATCGGGATGCAAGAAATGAGCACTGAACCGAGTAAGAGTTGTTTTTTTTACCGTTGTGGTTTGCTCAGTAGTTCTACCAAGCTTCGGTAGATGGCGCATATTGTACAGACAAACATTCATAAAAGTTAAAAGTATTTTTTTTTTATTAATTTCTAGAATATTCTTTATTGCAATTTTTATAGTAAATATCATTACATAATTGTTGTATTAAGATATTTAAATGGGCTGTGTCGTCGCTGTATGAAAGTATATCAGTCAAATGTGCCGTGTGACGTAAACTTGGTTGTCTCAAAGGAATGTAATAAATTAAAAACCAGTACTTCTAAGTTGTTGGTCATACTATTCTCATACATTTCTAGCTGCTTAGCTATTGAGTATATTTTATACAAGCAATTTTAACAGCGTATCCTACAGGTCCCCATGATGTATTGCGGAGGTATGGTGTCGCCACAGCCGTCATTTTGCAATGTGTCCGACATATCTGCGTCTGTCTCAGGTTTTTACCTTTCTTATCCCGTGACTATCTTCCACTAACTATGTAGTCCTAGTACTCAGGCATGTAGGTACAAGTATAGACATTATTAAGGTGATCATTATTTAAATTTTGCAGACAGTTGAACCCATTAATGTGTAGAAATTATTTAATACTATAATTAGAATTGATATTTGGAGGCATCTGAATCTGGTACAACGTAGGTAATATTAATAAATAGGTGTTAGGATACAGAGGTCGTTGTGTGTTCATTTCAGTTCTTTTTAAGCTGTTATCAGTTGCATGGAGTGTCTCAAAATGCTATAAGATCACAATAAAACCTCTCTATCCTAAGCTTATGTTGAATGATAAATCATACTCAACTCTGGTGTGTGGAATATGGTGCGTGGTGCGGTAAGTTCAATTTTATTATATTAGCTTGAGAATGTTGCTATGATACATTACTTACCCGGTTGACTACAACACTAACCACTACCTTATAACATTAGGTGATGACTATGAATACACGGGGGGCTCGGGAGACGGCTATCAACGGTCATCGAAACGCAGCTACCATGGGTCGTCGTCAGGCGGAACTGCATCGGCTTCTTCCTACCATCCCTATCGACGTTAACGAATGAGCTGTGCGGCCTCTTTACAGCTCTGAGTGCCTGGTAACTCGGTTACACTTGTCAATGTTTGTTAGTCTACGCGGCCTTATATTGCATTCCGGTACGATAGAATATCTTATTATAGATAGGTTTATATAGTAATTTTTCTCGCATAGATAATACAATTGTATGTAAGCGCACTGTCACTAGATGTCATAAGATAGTGCGGACTGATTTAATTTTAACTCACACTTTGGACATAAATAATAACTAAGTGACACGCAGCTGTATAAATGATATAAAGTTAATAAGTTTATGTAATATACAAATTAGGCTAACAAACCACCTCGTGCGAGACTCCGTTTATTAACAAACATTGTCTTACATTTTACTTGTAAAATATTATTATATCTCTTTTTCTACGAACGCAATCATTGAGTTTGTAAATTGTTTTTATTGGAAGCGGTCTATTAGGGACGCCTGTTACTAGATCGATTTAGTTTTTGAGAAATTTACTTTTGACTTTAAGCATTTCTTTGACTTGTATTAATGGACATGCATGTCGCGACATTAGCGTGAAGTATCGTCATGTCGAGCGTCATGGACTTGAGGACTTGACGGTAACTAGATGATATGAATGATAAGAGACGTCCCTTTTAGAACATTTTCCGAATTATTAAGTTAGTAGATTAGTTTTTCTTTTGGATATATTTGTCTAGTGTGGGACTGATTGGACGCGTGTGTCGATCCATCGACCTTTTTTAACTACAAATTCTAGTTGTAATATCATACTAAGAGTTTAGAACGTTTTACTATACAATGCAATAGATTCCAAATTGTGATTCTTTAATGTTTTATAGTATGTAACGTGTAACGTATCCATTGGCCTTAGTCTCGGATAAAAGGTAAATAAATTGTAAGAGTATTGTATCTGTCCCGACTTCTATACATTACATGTATCTTTCTAACATTTTACTCGACGTATTTAGGCATTCAGCTATAATTTTAAGGAACTAAATAGATTTTACCACCATTGTAAAAATAGTGACTATTTAAAGAATATTAACAAAAGTACCTTTTCACTCTAGTTGTTAAATTAATCCCAAGGAGGACCACTTTTGTAGTATGAATACTTATACCACCGCGGTTATTGTTCGAATGAGTTTTCATTTCCTCGTTGTTACAATATAAAATTGACATATTTTCGTAATATTTACTTTAGATGTTAGATAGGGTAGTCAACCATATGGAATGGTTATAAAATTTTCAATGACTTCAAAGAAATCATGTTGCTACCTAATAGGTATTATTGTTTAAGAGGCATTTATGACAAAATTTTGCAAAAATCACTCGAGTATGTATGTATCGCAATGTAATTGTCTTGGATGTTTGAGAAACATAATTTCTGATGCTGTGATGGAATTTGAAATATCCGCGCCGTTTGGCCTCTGAAATACTTCCAATTGTCGGTACTCTCTCTTAAAACGTGTATGTTCTTAAACTTTAATAAAAATACTATATAATTTAAGTTTTATTTAAATTCTCTGACAAGACTGTCTGTTTCCTCCTTCTGTAACAGTTTAGCTATAATTCTTGATAACTCGATACAGGTATATAAATTAATAGACGGTACGTTTTTTATAATAATCTTATTTTTTATTTTTGAATCAAATTTTTTAAATTACATTTTATAACTGACGTAGGTAGGCCTTGTTAATATTTAAATAATGTACGATTAAAATTTAATGACATTGGGTAAGTACAATGGAAAATAGATCAGAAGTTAAAATGTATGTAATTAAAATTAATGTTTATAATTATTAACAATGTAATATAAAATAGAAGTTAATGTACATTATTATAATTATTATAAATCGTTTGAAGTTACACCAATGGACAGGTATTACATTAGGTCAGGTGATTTAATATAGAAATTACATCTAGATAATATATCTTATATTAATATTAGGCTCTAAAATTAAGAGGTCATGATACTTTTAGCACACATGAATTATACATAATTATAGATTAGCAGTTCATTACTCTGGACCATAGATATAATGATAGCCACCTACACATTACACCTAAGTTAATATTTTGGCTTAGATTTTTATATTAAACGTGTTCTTTATAATAAATTAGTATTACGGAAATTCTTATGTAGAGAATCGTCTAAATAAATTGTGTAAATTTAATTTCCACATTATTTTATTAAAGCTTACAATTAGGGTAATTTTAATAATCCTATCACCAATGGACAGACAAATTGTACATAATAATTAATAATGTAATTATAATTTACTTTTGAATTTTACATTAACGCTCTCGAGGCGTTTATTTCCTTAATTACAAAAGCGATTTTGGATGTGCACATTATTTTCAAATGTTTTGAATATAATCCTACAAATGCATGAATTTATAAGTGCCATATGAATACTTAGTGGCTGGATTTAAATTCATAAGCGGACCGGGTAAGGCACTAGGAAAGAAGCGAATATTTACAACGAATGCTAATTGGAATTGACTAAATATTTCTAGAATGGAGATCATTATAAATGTAGGTACACATTAGTAGCTTAAACTAATATTTCTAAACCATTGCGCAGACAATAGGCCAAATTTATTTATATTTTTATAATTTGGATGATCACGCAAAATTAACCTATTCTGTGAAGTTAACACTCGTTAGGTAATACGAATTTATTTACGACCGAATAAAATTTAATCTTCTAGCTTACAAAATATTGAAATTATAATTAAAACATGCCTACCTATCGAAAAAAATTGACGATAATTTTACTGGACACAAAATTATTTAAACGACATTTATTATTCCTAATACAAGTGACAAGTGGCCACGAGCACCGCCACCGAGTTTGCTGCAAAACTGATCCACATATATTATTATCTGGTAAAGGATTATCCTTAACTAATAATTTTCTAAATACTCTCAGACAAGCACTCGATATAATATTATGGTAAAAAATGAGCACAACAGATCTTTGGGACTTAAATAATAGATAACATTGTCCATTTTGTCCATTGTGGAAGGTAAACCAGCAGGCTGATCACCTGTAAGCGATCAGCGCCGCCCATGGACACCTACAACATCAAGTGCGTTGCCGGCCTTGTGGAGGTTAGGGAATTGAGGGTTGATCCTTGGATCGTGATTGGTAAGCTGACACCTGCAACACTGAGGAGTCGATCAAGTGCGTTGTCATAGATTTGATGGACAAATGTGGATGTTACAGCAAGAAGTTCATTGCCTACGTATAGTAAGTTCGTTTGGCAGCGCGGGTATGGGTCTTGTGAGAGCGGCGGTGGTGGCCACGAGAGCCGTATCTCATGGGGCGTTGGCTGAATGACGTCTGGAAGTGCAGTTGACGCAGTCGCAAGGGCGTGGGGCTACATCCTCTGGTAGATGTGCGTGCGCAGCGCGGTAGCATAGCTCACGGTAACGGGCACAGCCTGGAATTAGTCATTTTCATTCTTTAGATATTTTTAAACAAAATTAATCTGCTGGGTCTCGTGATATAAACTGAAAATTTTTGAGGAAATATTAACTGAATATTATTCGAGTATCTACCGAGTTAGGAACTACATAATGATGAAATGCGTAAGTATGGAAATTACAAGATTTTGTGGAGAAAAAGGAAGCTCAAATACCTGTAGGAGGTAGTGCTAGCCTCGTGTCTGCTGCGAAGCCCCGTTGCGCCAGCCGGTCGAGCAGTGTACTGGCCGACCATCACCTCTCACTGTCGTGCTCCACCCCTGCAATTTTATTTTTCAGGTTATAGGTACCTATTATCGCTACTAACGAGTAACTTGCGTAATTTCCCAAGCTCGATTCCTTCCGGGTGGGCAAAATATTTTTCAAAGTAAACTGCTGATTTTTTATACTAGATAGATACCTAAGTAGACTACTTAAGTTGTTTTGTTTAAGTTGTAAATACACTAGTTATGTAAAAGCACGATGGGATTGACATCGTCACAAAATGTGTACAGAAATCCCTTACAATGCTCATCCCCTGTGCACACCAATTCACATCTACATGCTCCTTTAAAGAATAAAAGGTACGATTTTGTTATGTATGATACGTTATCTACCTAGTTGATAGGTGATACAACTGGTACATTACCTACCTTCACTCGGGGCGGGTGAATGGCCTCTGGATTTGTCATCGGCCCGGGGGGACAGCGAGCCATCAGACTGTTCCTGAAATTGACAAATTAACCGTAAAGTCAACATAAATAATAACGTGTTGTAGGTTACCAACTTGTTTACATAGGTACATACATTATAATTTACGCAGGTCCTATTTTATGTCCGCTTCATTGAAACTTACCCTAGGTTCTGGTTAAATTTCTCGATACGTACCTTTAAACAAAGCTTTAGTTCCACAATCTAGTACTTCGGTCACTAAGGCGTAACAGAGATCGATAATAACTCGAAGGGAAATGAAATTATCTCCGACATCACATTGATCATGTTAGCACGAGTACGAACGCAAATGTTGTCGGTGACCGGAGGGCATGATTATGATTAGGGTTGACAAATATTAGATGTTTGCTTAATATTTTGTGACAGTTTGCACACCAAGTGTTGGGCATTTTTTTCTCGGTCTTTTGGGATCAAGGGTCTAACGGTAAAGTTTATTCCAAGTAGGTAAATTTAGGTTGGTTTCTAGTGGAAGTAGATCGTGCTCACTAATTCAGTCAATTAGTTAGTACTTAGGTTATAGTGCGGTTTCTAAGAATGTTCTTTTTCTAATGCCGTTGAAATGCTATTCAAGTACCTAAAAGCTATGAGAATTCAAACACAGTTATTGCCTGTACTAGGTATATATTTAAGTGTATATTTAAGTATTTCTATTTTAAAGGACACAAACTAATACGATATACATACATAATGAGGACTGACGGAAACAAAGTTAGGTATAACATAGTTTCCGCTTTGGACCGGCCGTTTGTTCGTCGAGCAATGTCACTATGGGCGTCAACTTCAGTTAGAAACAACCCTCGCACCGGTGCAAATTGAATAATTTTACAGGCGACCCCACTTGAACATCCTCCAAACCTGTGGAGATACACTTAAACCTCATAATGTTATGAAAAGAGGAGTGGAGGGGAAGCAAGCAATTTCGAAGCACAGCTTCACGCGAGCTAGCATTCAATTAAAAACAGTTTGCCCTGCCTAGATGATTAATCAGCCTGGTTTAATAATGGTGCTTGTTTGAATCGAAGACAATTAAAGTTTCGAGCAGTTGGATAGTTAGGTACCTACATACGCTAATCGTGGGTATTGATTTATACCTCTTTACCCACCGTACCAATTTGCATTAAGTGCCTAGGTTCACCATTTGTCATTTCCCCATCTAAATGCGGCGTTAAGGATCAAAACGAGGTGATTATGAGCGCAGTTCAGTCCTCAAATACCTAAATGTAATTTATTTATCACATATCTCGAATGTAAATAAAAGTAGGACTATCAATATGTGCCTATCCATAGGCTTAATTGTACCTTGTACAGAATAAAAATGGTTTTCGGTACCTACCTATCCGTGTACATGAATGGCAGACAAGGGTTTCCAATCAACCTAGTCACGTAAGCTTTCTAGAAAATAAATTGAAAAACCGTGTCCAGGATCTATACAGTACGATATTCTGCCGTCATAACGTAGCAACAACGCATGGAGAAATTGAATCGACCAGGAGAGCAGGAAATTGATATCATGCCAGGAAATTGGCACGCTCACGTGTCGCACGGATGGAAAGCAAAGTTAACAAATTTAAATTCACGATAATTTGTGGAAACACGAACGTGAAGGTAGACCACAGTTAATTTGAATTGAACTTCAAGCTTGTTTTACGTGTAGAGTACTAGGAAACTATAGTTAGGCCTGTAGTTCTAACTAGTTCTGAGTAAAGGGCATTTTTATTTACTTAGGTAGATACTTTCTGGTCTGGTCTGGTCTTTCTCCACACTAGGATTTTCTCCGGTGTCGTGGGTGCGTTTACAAACAAACAATATCACATACACATGACACCCAGACCCGGAACAACAATCTGTGGATCACACAAAGAGTTGTTCCGTGCAGGAATCGAAACCGCGACACGTTGCGCGGCAGCCAGTAGTCCAGCCACCGCGCCATCCGTGCAGTCTAATGTTCAAATGTTCATCGATAGCATTAAATACCTATTTTATAGCGAAAAATTAAACTATGACTCAGTTTCCAGGCAGACCAATATTTTCTTCCAACGCGGAATTACGTAAATCATTTCAATAACAACGGAATATGTAGGTGGTATGTATATGTAATGTAGTACCTACTAGATAGCACTCACGAAATATCTGGAAGTCGCAGAAATATATTCCAATAGTACCTACCTAAAGTCCATATTTTATTACGTCGAGATTTTCCGTGGAAAGACCCACCTGTCGGTAGTTTGATAAGAAAACAAGAGATCTTTGTTGTAATATGCCGGGGGCGTATCAGGACGCCCCAGTGATATTTTTCTTGAAGATCTAATGATTATAATAATATTATTCCATATTATGTTATGTTGGGCTATGTACCTATGCATAGCTGGTCATGGCTCACATATTTGCCGGTATAAAATATTTAATCTCCCAATCTTTATTAAAGTCATTTTTATTATTAGGTAAATGCCTAAATGGAGAGGCCAGAAATTATGAGGAAGATACGACAAGAATTTATTGACATCGGTGTTTATTTTTGTCATTTCGTAATGTATAGAAATTGCCGCCATCAGCGCCATGATACATATAATATTTAGCGATTAACATTCGGGCACCAGTGTGGCCAATAAAGTAAAATAGTTTATTTACTAGATTGGACCCAAAAGACGTTCTGGCATGATCCTGTTTTTAAGAGAAACGTGTGACCTCTTTCGGCCCCTTTTGCCCTCGTTTTCCTTTCTGCATTATTTCTTAGTACACTTTTACATCTGCCCCGATGTAATGTATTAGAGTTATAAAGAGACTATCATTACCTAAAAACCATATAAGTAAGGGCAAGAGAAACGTTTATCTTAGATAAGTATCATATCATTTAATGAGATATTACACTAACTAGATTATTGATAGGCACATTGTCTGTTCCCGAGCTTTGACATTGTATTCAATTAGCGTAATGACAGTAGGATTGCTTTAGGTCTTATACTGTAGTATCTACATTATGACTGACTAGTGCTGTCACAAAACAGAGAAAATCCGAGTGCTATCACGTTTCGTTTAGGCGGGTTACCGGGGCTCCGGCTCGAAGTGCAGGAGAAGGAACGGGATGGTTTTTAGTCACTAAGAGTCTGACATTCCCTCCCGCCTGACCCAGGCGGAAGCAGTCATTCGCTGCAGATTTAATAAAATTTTGTTTCACCCTCTTGGCAGTTATCATGAATCTTTTTTCGTTGTCAAATTGTATAGTGCTACTACGTCCATGCATCGCATGGGGAACGTAACTACATTTAGTATTTTAAAACAATTTGTACCCGAACGTTTTACAAAATTTTAACAGCACAGCTAACGAAGTTTATTTATGATTTATTGAAATATTATATTACTTAGGTATATGTTATGCTTAAAATTATTTGAGTAGGTACATAATACAGATTTGTATTTGTAACAATTCACTACGTAAGAATAGTTTTATTGTGATAGATTAATTTATAAAACAAAACCTCTTTGCTGGTTCTGTTTGAATGCGATTAAGTGAAGTGTTAGAAACTATGAAAAATTTCCAACCTG